GTTTTGTTGACATTTTATTCCATTCTGAAATCAAATATAAAAAATTTTAAGATTTGCAATTGTGTTAATAATGGTAAGATTTGCAATTTTGTTAATAATGGAAGGAAGTTGTGAATAATAATGAACAAAAAAGGAAACACTCTCTGAAAACGTTTACAAGGCTGTAATATGTTGTTCTACACAAAAAGCTGTTTAACATACTTTTTGCAACATGCCAGATGTCATAACGATGAGTTATTTCTGGATGGTTCTCTTGTATAATGCTTGATATGCCTATGTGGCGATCTGAGACAAATTTGGAAATTGGGACATCTATCAGTAAAGTCTCTAGACAGAGTTTGAATCCATATAATTCCATAGCACTGCCGTTACCAGCTTGATTTCTCTGAAACTTAAATTATGCACAAAGTATTTAAATTGGCTTTTCTGTATTACCTCAGGAAGTATAATATCACAGGTTTTTTTAGATGGTTTGATGTAGATACTCGTGTATTGCATGCCTGAATCGCCTGTTTCATATGTTGTATATAAAAATGAATCGCCAGCTAGAACAGCAGGATCGCTTTGGTCTTTTAATGCCTTAAGGAAACCAGCCAGATAAACTTTCCAGTGAATATATATATAGCTGGAAATGATTTTTCCTTTGAAAAGAAACTTGTATATCAACTATTGGTTGTCAATTCATAACTTTTGTGTACTGAAACTTCCATAAGAAACTTTTGTTATATAATCAAGAAAATATTCAAACTCTCAAGCCTTTTTTGTTTGCAACTCTGCTTTCCTGGCCTACATATATGCCCTCGTTGTAATTTTGTGTGATCCACTTAACATTTTGCCTGAAACTTATAGTTAAAAATGAACCCTATACTGTAGCACATTTCTACAAGGATGACGTTTTTAGTCATAAAATAAAGAGAGACTACTACTTAACCAGTTTTTTTGGTTCAAAATATAACAAAATCAATTTCCAAGTAGGGAAATTAACTCATTTTAGATTCAACAGAATTAGCTTCAAATAGCAAATTTGATTAATATTTTGACATTTTTACCTATTGATGTTTGAAGAAAGTTATAAACGAGATTGTGCAAAGATTGGTGTGATTGAAGACCTGTCTGACTTTTGAGATTGAGCCCCAAGCTAACAATGTTGACATACAGAGCAGGAAGTTGCCGGCAGGTATGTTAGTTCCAGTCATTTTCGGTTGACTTCTCCAAAGATCTTCTTTCAGACATGCTGGGTTAATACAGTGGCTCCTAACAATCAGCATTGTTCCACATTTAGTTGCTTTAATGTTACGGTTGTCACTCTTGCAGAAATAACTTGAAGAGCAACAAGATTTGCACCAAAAATGAGATTAATTTTGGTTCTGTCCGGAGGTTTCCATCTGTAGCTAAGAACCTGTGTTTCAGAATGAAGAAAATTTTAAACTTATGCACAACTAAACTTGACTTAACAATTTGAGAGATATGTTTTCTTTGCTAATTATCTGCAAAATTGCATAGAATAGTAATTTATAGTAATTTTAATGCATAGAATTTAAAACAAGAGACACTGCAATGTGCAGATAATAAACAACAATGAAACACAAGTGGTTTAAAGATAGCTAATATTTTACCTCAGCAAAAGTAATGGCATAGTTATGTCTGCAACAACATAACCAGATTTTAAATGGGTGGGTAGTCTACAATCATATTTAACATGTAAAAAGTACTAGTGCATTTACCTAGAAGCCTCTTCTGTGTCACTTTCTAAATTGGTTTCTGTGTCTGCGTGATCCTCACAGTCAAATCATGCTCCTCCAATGATTCATCATCACTTTCCTCAGAACTATCTGCTTTATTTTGGAAGATCATCAGATGCAATTTTTGAAAAATCGCTCTTTTTAGGTGACTTCTTTGTTTTTGAGGTGTTTCCATCCTTGCGCCGGGCAACAATTATCTAGGCATCATGATATATTCAATGCTTTCAGGCATTATTGTGGCACTGTTTGACAAAATGAAGAGGAACATTGAATTTGCACACATTTCTTTTCGCTATTTGAATGCATAAACTGCCCCAGCAAACTACACTCTGTTCAATTGCAAACAATCTTTTGGTGGTAAATTACAAATGTATACTGAAGCTTTTCGTCTGACAGAACTAATAATTGCATAAGGACCTTGGAGTACTCCAGGCTTGTCTTTAGCGTGCATTTGGCCTGAGGTTTACATGGAATGCACCCAGGGCTTGGCTATATGCACTATTGTCCACCAAAAACCACTAGAGCCTAAACAGCCTTTTAAAGAATGTTTCTTGCTATATTTTGTACGCAATTCTTCATGCACAAAAACGATGAAAACTGACAATGCAATGAAACAATAGCTTCAACCAAAATTCTTGGCGAAGTATCCACAACAGCTGGTTGTGACCGGTTGGCACTCTATTTTTATAAGAATACTATACATTAATTCCAGCATCGATTTTCTTAGGGAATTTTCGTTTTGAACCTTATTATATTTATAAAGTATTCTAATTTTTTTCAAATCTGAATGTTTTTAGGGGAACATTGCCTGCTCTTTAAGAAAAACCACCATATGTCAGTTCTGAAATTCCCTGTTATGAACACAGCAAAACAGGCAACTGCCTAACAATGAAACAAAAATGTGCGACCGGAGGTTGAGCAATATTATAATATTGTTAGAAAATGGATTATTATGAATCTGAATATTCTTTTATATATATAGTGTTCACATATGTATGTCTTTAAGAAACTAAAATGCCAGTACTGATTGTTTTTAGATACTTAGGATTTTAGATATTGGGTATGGTGTACACATGAATTTCTTATGGGTTCTTAAAGACTTCAAAACAATATTCTTGTCTACTTCCTGTGTCCTCATAAATGTTTAGAAACAAAGTTTTTTAACCTTTCCTTTGTTTGGACATAATAATATAATGCAGTACTTCTAGTCAAGAGTAATATGATACAAGAAACAGGTGAAAACAAAGTAAAATTTTACTAGAAGGCTCCTTCGTTAAGGTAGCCAGCTACAGTCATTTTGCTGGGAACATAATATTTTTCAAAAAAAAATTTTTTTCAATAGTCTGCTTCTTTAAATATTAAAGAACCCTTTCGAGAAATATTTTTGTAATATATGAAGTTTTTGGGGGTAAAACCCTTGCATTCCGTGGAGGAATAAACATCAATATCCTTAGCAACAATGTTTTTCCGTTGCTAGGCATATAAATCTTTATTTTACCCCAGGATTGTCTGTCGCTTCCTTACAATTTCAAGTGCCCTTATGAATTGGAGGTTTTCCATATACGAGGTTTTCCAAAGACAGGCTTGAAGTAGCTAAATCTGTCCTAGTTTATCACTTTTTTATACCTGTTCTCCACGAAAGCTTAATTGTGGTGTTTCTCAGGCGTTGTGATAAATTCGAAGATATCGAAAAGAAAAATGAAGACTCGTGTGATTGCTAGGAGAAAGGCAAAGAAGAGAAAGGTTTGCAACGTAGATATTTTCAGAGATAAATCAAGAACTGATGATGCAAACGATAGAACTGAGGCTAGGCCCGGACCTTCCCATCAAACGGAATGCGAAACAGAGATTGTAGAAGGACAATGTTCTAGCCCAAAACAACACAAAAATATATTCAAAAGAGTGGAAAATGTTTCTAAGAAGAAACTTCTCAATTCATATTTCATGAAAATGAGTCCAATAAAGAAAAGCCGTTTGACTAGAAAACGGGCCGCAGAAATTGGATCGCAAAGTCAGGAAAAACTGAGATGGCAAAAGGTTACTCTCTTATGTCTTTAAACAATCTCAATGAATGCATTCAAAGTGCTGCTATTTGTAACAATTGTAAGAGCCCCAAAAGCAGACTTTCTTTGCTGGAAGTTAAAGCAGAAAGAAAAGGGTTAGCACAGAAGCTTGTCATCCAGTGCAACCTATGCTCAAGCAAGTCTAACTTTTCTACCAGCTCAAAGAGTGGAGCTCATGAGCCTTTTGAGGTCAATGTAAGGTCCGCACATGGCACATCATCTCAAGGGCTTGGTCATGCTGGACTAACAAGACTTTGTGCTTCTTTAGACCTACCAAAGCCCATACATCATAAGCCTTATGATAAAATTATCAGGGATCTTTCTGGCAATGCCCAGAGATTAGCTGAAAGAAAAATGATGGATGCAGCAGCTAAGCTTGTGCAAATAACAAAGGAGGAGGACCCATCAAATATTGAAGAGTCTTCAGAGGGCCAAATTATTGCCAATGTAGCTGTCACTGTTGATGGTACTTGGCAACGAAGAGGAGTTGTCTTTATTTTATCAGTGAGAACAGGAGAGGTTCTTGATTATGAAGTCAGAACAAAATATTGCCAAGAATGTGTTTATCACGAGAAGGATAATAAAAATGGCAAGTTTTATCAAGACTGGTTGGCTAGCCATACCAGTAAGTGCTGCATAAATCACCAAGGCTCTTCTGATAGCATGGAGACAGCAAGTGCAGTGGATATGTATCTGCGCTCAATAGAAACAAGGTCCTTAAAATATGGCACTTTTGTTGGTGATGGTGACACAGACTGTTTTGGAAATGTAAAGGAGGAATGCTACAAGAAATATGGTGACCAGTATATTGTAACCAAAGAAGAATGTGTAGGGCATATTCAAAAGAGACTTGGCACAGCTCTTCGCACGTATAAAGTAACAATGAAGGGCAAAAAGTTAAAAGATGGAAAAACAGTTGGTGGAAAAGGTCGCCTGACTGACAAAGTCATTGATAGAATGCAGAATTTTTTTGGCCAAGCAATAAGAAATAATTCTGGCTTGAAAGAAAGCATGAAGAAGGAAATTTTGGCCATTCTGAAGCATATGGTAAAAGATGACACTCTTTCTCTTGACCAGCAGCATGAAAATTGCCCAAAAGATTCATCAAGTTGGTGCAAATTCTGGAGTCAAAGGGAATGTTATGATAATGATAAAAGACTACCATCTGCATTCTATGAAGAATTGAAGCCAATTTTCCACAGATTGTCTGCTGATGCATTGCTGGACAGATGTTTGCTTGGTTTAACACAAAATCAAAACGAATCCATAAATGGCATTCTTTGGAGCAAATGTCCCAAACGAAAGTTTTGTGGGAGGCAGATATTGCTGCTAGCTGTCTGTGAAACAGTTTGCGAATTCAATACTGGAGCAGCTTCTCTGGAGGAAATCTTGAATGAGTCAAAGATTAAATCAACATCCAATTCCTTAATTATATTGAGGGACATGGATTCAAAAAGGCTGAAAAATGCTGCAAAAAAAGTTTCATCAAAGGCCCGACTACAGCGAAGAAAACTAAGAGCAAAGAGAAAAGGTGCTGTTGAGAAGGCAACAAGCTACATTTCTGGTGCATTTGGTCTTCACAAAACACCAGAATTAGATCTGCATAAAGGATTTGAAATTATTTATCAGCAAAGTGAGACTGTTGAGCCTGAGATAAAATTTATTGACGAGAAAAATATTTTGTTAGTTAAAGTAGAGACATTACAGTAACATTACAGTAGCGACCCCCCATCTTGTTTTTGCCAAACAATTAGACAATAAAATTCATTTATTAAAGTCTTATTTTTTATAAATTTTGATAAAACTGACATAATACAGTTCTACTTAGCCAGTATCTAGCTATCCAGTAACAAAGAATCTTTTATATTGCTAAAAGGTGTTCTACTAACTTTAAGGCTAGTTTTCTCAAAACTTGATTTTTGCATTCTGCCGTTACTCTGCAGACTTTATCTTTTGATTAGATTAAGGTATCATGCTGAATTTTTGACACAATGTGTATTTTTTGAAGCTTTATGACATGACTGTTTTGAATTACTTCTTTACTACTGCTGAAATGAGATATTTTGTAAAAACAGTTTTTTTTAAGGTATCAACCCCCGTCTTTGAAATTGTTAAATTTTAATAGTCATTTCACAAAGAGTTGACAAAGTAACATTTTCCATTTTATTTGGGAATAATATCTTTTGTGGTTCTTGAGATATATTCTGCAGACCTGTTTTAACATATTTTTGTCCTGACATTACCCCCGTCTAAATAACAAATCTTTTCAAAAAATAGAGACATATTTATATTTTACAATCTTTGATCTACATACCTAGAAAATTTCGACTTCATATCTTAAACGGTTCACACATAACATTGTTTTAAAGTAGAACGACATAGTTTTTATAGTGACAGTAGCCGGCCACCTTAAAATAAATAGTTTCTTCTTCTGCTGAAATTCACCGTTTTCCTTATTCGCTCGGAGCGCAATGCATTCTGGTACTTGTAGTTAACAACAACACGGCAATCGGCGCGCTCTTCAAATCATTGCAAATATCGCTCAATCGCACTGTACGGCTGTTTACGATTTAAAAGATGGATAACCCTTCAATTACCAAAGAAACAAATACAGATACTTCTTCAAACAATCGCCCTAGTTTTTTTCAAAACTCTAGCCCGGGGCAACTCGCTGTACTACACCAAAAGCCAGAAGCTGTCGATATGGGAAGAGTCCTAAGAGTAGGCCTATGTGATGAGATCCCTAAAAAGCAATCAAAAGCTGGTGGATTCACGTGTTGCGTGCCAGGTTGTTTCAACAATAGCAAAAGAAACCCAGCTCTTAGTTTCTACCAGTTTCCGTTTGGAAATCGGCAAGAGAAGATCGACCTGAGGAAAAGATGGATATCCCTCATCAGTCGCAAGGACTTCAAACCAACGAATGGACACAGGGTTTGTTCGGTACACTTCGTTGGTGGAAAAAAGACTTACATGAGCAACGTGCCGCTCATCGTTCCAAAGGCAACTCGTCCCAGCATACCAAAACCAAGAGCAACATTTAAATGTCGTAACAGAGCCCTCACGGAAGAACGATTCGATCGGGAAAAACTTGTCGAAGTAATTGCAAATGGTGATGAGAACTTACCTGAGGCAGTTAATTCTGACAACCAGGCAAATGAGCTTGCTGCTCTGAGGAAGCAAATGGAAGCAAGGGAAAGACAGCACAAAGATGAAATAGAATCTCTTACAAAAATATTGGGTCAGGCTAAAAAAGAGAATGAATCAATGAAAGCAAAGATTAAACAAGTATCATTTCATGTTGATGATATAAAGGATGATACTGAACTATTTCATTTTTATACTGGTTTCCAAGATCATGAAACATTTCTGATATTTTTTGATTTTCTAATGCCAGCAGCAGAGAAGCTTATATACTACAAGTCAAACACAAATGCAGATACAATTTGCCTTGAGAATCCAAAGCGTGGACCAAAGAGAACACTGGCACTAGAGCAAGAGTTGTTTCTTGTCCTTGTACGTTTACGGTGTGGACTTTTAGAAAAAGACATAGCTTACAGGGCAGGTATTTCTGTTGGGCATTTTTCTAGGATCTTCATCACCTGGATTGATTTCCTATATACAAGGCTTAGACAGCTGCCAATATGGGCATCAAGGTCAACTATTGATGAAACAATGCCAAATGCATTCAAAGAAATGTACCCAAGTACACGTGTGATATTGGATGCTACTGAAATATTCATGGAAATGCCTAGTTCACTCAGGTCACAGAGTGAAACATACTCTAACTACAAACATTGCAATACTGCAAAGGGCTTGCTTGGTATTGCACCTTCAGGTGCAGTAACATTTGTGTCACACCTATATGCTGGCAGATGCAGTGACAAAGCAGTCACAAGGGATTGTGGTATCCTTAACCTTTTGGAAGCAGGTGATACAATCATGGCTGACAAAGGGTTTAACATAGAAGATGATCTTCCACCACAAACAGGGCTGAATATACCCCCTTTTCTCAAGGAAAAAGCTTCATTGACATTAGAAGAAGAAACAGAAACCAGAAGAATTGCCTCCCTACGTGTACATGTTGAGCGAGCCATTAGACGAATAAAAACTTTTAAGTTACTGAAAACAATATTTCCAATTTCAATGTCTGCTAATTTGGATAAAGTATGGGTGGTTTGTGCATATCTATCAAACTTTTTACCACCACTTATAGCTAAGAAATAAATGTGATTTCATACAATTGAAAAATTTTTTTTGTCTTTGTATCACTGTTTTTTAGGAAATTTCTTTTATCATTAAATTAAATGGAAATACACTTTTCATCAATTAACTTGGGCAATGGTTTTAAATTTTTTGCATTTCAATTTAGGAAGTGAGAGGAAATTGTCTCCTGTGTCACAAAATAATTTTGCCCCTACCCCACCTACAACTGTAGCATTTGATGACTGTAGCATTTCCTTAAACATAGCCATTACACCATTTAAACTCTAATTTGATTTCAGCTCAGCTCTAGAAATTCAGTTTGTTTGTTTTTTTTCATGATCAGAGAATTTTGGAGATGAAAAAATTGTCCTGACTTGTAAATTTTCCCATTAAGACATGACATTCTAACCAATGCCAAAATGACATAGCAGTTATTTAAAAGCAGTAAAAACAGATTTCATTTGGCTTCAACGCATCATAAATATCATATATTTTAATTTATATCAACATAAATGTTTCAAAAAATGTTGCTAACTTTGGTAACATTACAGTTTTCCAAAAATGACAGTCACATTCTAAACGTTGCACATATATATCTATGTCAGTATAAACAATAATGTCTAGCCATGAAAGGCCAATTATGTTCATTATTCCTTGGCATTGATAATAATAATGATGCTTTTCTTTCAAATTTTGCCCAGATCCTGAATCTCCCATGAAAAAGTTTTTATCTTGGCATGAATCTTGAACAGTTAAGTTCCTTTTTGTGTAAGGGCACTTAATCTCTATGCCGCCTACAAGCATCCCATCTTGAATTGTCAATCCATCAGGGCTTGCACCAAGCCATGGCCATTTAGGATTGATCATCAGACCGCACTCAACAACATTACCTTGGTGGCAGAATTCTGTTTTGTACCTTTCTAAAGCCACCTTTTCCTTTTCAATGCCCCATTGTAACCCTGCTGTATTTGGCCCAGTTCCATCCCTCCTTTTAGCTATTTGATCAAGAATAGATTTTGGAAACACATTTTCCCTTCTTCTTAAGATTCTGCCAAAAAGGGATGATGTCAGTCGCTTTGACCTTTCTAAGAACCAGCGGTGGCTGCTTGCCTGTTTTCTTGTTTCTTTTTCAATCACTTTAATATCTTGTAAAGTGACTCCAACATTATGGGCTATACTGGCTGAAGTGGCCTTGGCAAAAAGACTAGAATCCATCTCTGCATGCATGTTTTTGAAAATATCATATGACATTTCCATAAAATTGCTGGATGGTGCTAATTCTTGTGCTGGATTTCCAGAGTGTTCAAAAAAGTCACAAGGTTTAAACTCGTTGCCTTTCAGAGTTTGAGCTAGTAAGTTGGCTTTCCCAGCCTTCTCTAAAGATTTATACAAACTTTGAATTTTACTACTGGCAACAACCTTTGCAAATGGAGGGGTTGCACAGAAATCTGTTCGGCTACCTGAAACTGCTGGCCTTTTACGCTTGCAAGACTTGTCTTTTTCAGGCATAGCTTTCTCAAAGCTCAAGTCTGCAAATTTGACAGCAACAGTTGAATTAAGTTTTCTTCCAGGCTCACACCATTTTTGAAGCACCTGAGTGCAGGTCAAATCCTCTGGAACGCAAGGCAGGCCCAAATTCGAAAAGTCCAGAAGAGTATACAGGAGTGCAGCAACATGTTTACAACAACCACCTTGTCCAGCTTTACAGTTGCATTTTGCTTTAACTACTGTTCCTGTTGATTGGTCTAAATGTGCATAAACTATGTATTTAATGCTCTTGATTGAAGCAGAAACAAATGCTTTTACCAAAAACAATGTAACGCAACCATATTCAACATCTGGTTTGACCCTCACTTTGCTCAAGTACCCTTCTTTCCACAACTTGTAGCCTTGGAGCTTGTTTCTGTAGGCATTCGGTGCAATATGATCAGGCATGTTCATTGCGTTATCAATAAGTTTCTCATTCAAACGGCTTTCCGTAAATCTAGGCATACATTTCAAATAAACGGTCCAGCTTCCATCTCTGAGATCAACGAAGTTATCATCGAAGGTAACGTCACTCCGTACCGTCATTTTGCTGGTAGCCTCTGGTACTTCTTCTTGCTGTAATACAACGAGTTGCCCCGGGCTAGAGTTTTGAAAAAAACTAGGGCGATTGTTTGAAGAAGTATCTGTATTTGTTTCTTTGGTAATTGAAGGGTTATCCATCTTTTAAATCGTAAACAGCCGTACAGTGCGATTGAGCGATATTTGCAATGATTTGAAGAGCGCGCCGATTGCCGTGTTGTTGTTAACTACAAGTACCAGAATGCATTGCGCTCCGAGCGAATAAGGAAAACGGTGAATTTCTGAGTACTGGAGTTTCTTCTTTTTTTGGAGACCTAAAAGAATTGACAATGTAATCAAAAAACCAGATAGGATAAAGTTACTGGAAACATTTCATATTTTCAAAACTCTCAATTACTCGTAGTGAGGATATTCATTTGCCACCACCCTGCCCCCCCCCCCCACCCCTTGGTCTTATGTAGGATCTGCGAGACATAATAAGGAGTGACAAACAGCTCTGTAATTTCTGATAGGCTTCCATGATCATAAGAAATATGTAATCTATGACATACAATCTCAATAAATAAATTAAACGGAACTGATATAAATTTACATTATCTGCAAAGTTTTAAAAGAAACATATTGGAGGTTACTGGTTAACATAATTAGCTAACTTTGACACAACAAATCTCATACCTGGGGCTGAAAGTTAATGTTGAGTTAGTCTTATGGATATCCATCAATATCTTCATTTGTTTTCGGTGGTATCCTCCTGTGGTCCAAATTAGCAAGAGGACATCGTTCTGTCAAATTTGCTAATGTTCCGTTTTCAATTTCAGCTTATGGTGCACAGAGAGCACTCATATGATTCTTCGCGATCAACTAGCACTGTCACATGCAAATGTGTTTCCAGATCCTCAGATTTTGGACCATTACATGGACCCACATTAAACATTGTGTTACCCTGCCTTGCCTTATTGAAAGCAGAGCATAAATGTTTAAGGTGTCTGTTGATAGCAACTTTTTTTTTCATCTTCTTTTTCTTCATTACGTGTTGGTCTTCTGTATTTGCTTTCGGCTTTTTCGCAGGTTTCTTTTCGGTTCATTGGAATCGAGGTTGAACTTCAAACTTTTTTATTTGATGGATACTTGTATGTATTTCAAAGTTATCGATTTCGCCCATGAGGACTGAGAAAGACTTTCTGTTGACTGTTTTGCAGAATCAAAATTTGGAAATTGCATGCTTGCATGCAGAGTGGTTATCAGACTGACTCAAGGACAGTCATCAGAATGATCAAGTTTTACCCCATGATTTTGATGCGGATACGCTTAATAAATGCTTCAGTCACCATTTTAGTATTCAACCCCCTGCCCAAATCCTAAAACAAAGAAACCCATTGCCTCTGGAGAATCCACGTATGTTTCCATGAAATAGGTAATGAAGCGGGTATTTTCTTTCCCAATCCTTCCTCCAGCAATTGCACCAGACGCTTTTCTATCTAACGAGTTCTGTCTGGAACATCCCACTGCACTCTCCTTTCGTCCAACTTGACTTTAAGACTCTTCAACACTTCTTTAAAAAATATCAAATGTGCGTTTCCGATACGAACAACATTGGATTTTGCATTGGAGAACTGTTGTGCCATGACTTTGACCAACTCTCCCATTTTGACCATCATATTAACAACATCTACTATCTGCTGGCTTGCCATAAAAATCTATATAAGAAAAGGATATTATTTTTCTAGTTTGCAGAAGATCAGGAGTTTTGTAGTTCAATGTGCGGGAGGATGGCCATCAAGTTATAAATACGGTTTAGATGTGTTTGCTCGGGAGTTTGGTGAACGAAATGTTTTTGTGTATCCAAAGCCACTAAAATTATATTGTTTCCATTGCACCTTTTTCTTGAATAGAATCTATAGAAGTCTTAGAAGCCAATTAAATACTCCGGAGATCAAGATTTTCCTTGAAAATAAACTGCTTGAGGACAGCACGATGACCACTGGCAAAATACCACAAGGCATCATAATTGAGGTCTTTAATGGGACTGGTTGGAGGTGGAGAGTCTATGCTTCGCATTTTTAAGCAATACTAAGCTATTAACAAATTAAGATAATCGTTTCCTGGTCTGAAGAAGTTATCATTGCTTATTGCAACTTCTTTGACCCTATATAAACCAACCCGAAAATAATTTCTGTTCTCTGCTCATGCAATTTGCTTTATCCAATCCAGGAGAAAATGAAATCAATTCGATACTTTCTCTGCCTTAGCCTCTCAAAGGTCCCGATAACCGATGGCCAACATGAACTACCCTGGCCTGTTTTTTGAATGAAACCAATTAATGCTTTTCGTTTGTCAAGAAGTTTGCTCTACGCCTCTCAAACCAGTCAGTGGTGTGTTCTTTTTCGACATCCTTTTTGACTGGCCACGAACCCTCTTCTGTCAATGCCTTTCTTTCCTTAGCAAGTAACACCTTCGTAGAAAATTTGATGTGTTTGTATTTTATTGGATTTTACCTTGGAAATGTGCTTTTTACTTATTTCGATTTTAATTTCTAGCAAAGTTGAGGAAGAATAAAAATATAAAGTTGGTTTTACTTTGTCTTACAGAGTTGATTGACATATTTTAGTTTTTTGTTAACCTTCCTAGTAAGCTTTTCAAGTGTTGCTGATTCAAAGCAAACGATTTGTGTCATCAGCAGAGAGGAAGAATTTTAAATGATATCAAATCTCTAAGTAAATATTGGTCTGCCATGTGCAACTGAGGCATCTATTGCACATGGCAATATAATTTTCATTGGCTGTAAGCTTTTGTATTCTTTGCCCGATTATCAACATCAAGCCATTTTTCCATTAATGTCTGCAAATGCAACAAGACTTCTACCCTGATTGCCAGAAAAGCGTTTGTTTCGGATACAAACAAGTTTCTATTTTCTATTCCTGTGTTGCTCTTTCTGCCACAAAATTGTCCCAAAGAGTATATTATCAACTTGATCAGAATTGTCGTAAAATTTCTCCTCCCAGCAACCAAAAAGTGGGCGATAATTGATATTCTCCAGCTTTGCAATTAATCTATTTGTTTCTAGAACAACATCTGTGATGCTTGAGCCATCTACTTGTAGCTTTTTCTGAAACGCTCGCATCAAGTACAGAATGTCTCCAAAAAAACACATGAGCAGAAAACTGTCCTTGCTAGTCAAGAGTTTGCTAAACCCTTTAATTTGCTCTTTTTGAGAACCTGACTCAAAAAAAATGATTATGTCAGGTCAGGGCATGAGGAAGATATTTCAGCACCCCTCCCCAGTTGAAGTCCTTCCATCACAAAACAATTCTGGTGCTACCAGTGGTAGGGCACAACACTATTTTGGGTTTGTATATTTTTCTTTGAATGATGTTCTACCGGTCATTTTTAAAATTAATATTGATAAATATTTGTGTATCGTAGGGAAAAGATCAGATGACCCAGAGCAACCTAATTGGGTTCCAACAATATTTGCGCACACATCACAGTCAGAAAAAGAGAAAATTTCAAAGCAAATAAAAAAGAAAGCTAGGTATAAAATCTTAAAAAGCAAAAGAGAGAAGTTATCATCCGCCTGGAAAATTGATGCACTGGAAAATTCGAGCTCTGAAAGCAGTGTAGGAGAGGCAGAAGAGGCTTTCAAGGTAATGATGTGGGTGTTCAATGTGAGATCAGCCTGGCTGATGAAGTGGCAGAGCTTAAGAATAATCTGATCAACATGGAGAGTGAATTAAGATCAAGAAATATATAAACGCGGAATTTTCATAGAGAGACCAAAGAATCTAACTGCACTGGCACAAACTTGGTCAAACTATAAACATAACAATCCTATGAAGTATTTGATAGGGATAACGCCTGCGGGAGCAGTAATTTTTCTTTCTGAAGGTTGGGGTGGTCGTGTTTCTGACAAGCAAATAACACTTGAATCATGATTTTTGGATAAACTAAATTATGGAGATTGCATATTGCTAGACAGAGGCTTTTTGATAGCGGATGAACTCGGTGAGCATATCTAAAACTACCAAATTTACAATGGGGAAACAGCAGCTACCAGGAAGAGATGTTCAACAATCAAGGCAGGTATCTAATGTGAGGATACATGTTGAGCGAGTCATAGGACACTTAAAAAAGTTTCGCTTATTACAAAGTACAGTACAGATATCACAAGTGAAATTATTGGACAATGTAATGGTAGTTATATCAGCAATTATAAATTTGAATAAAAGTGTTGTGGCCCATTTTTTCCCTAAAATTCTTAAAAAGGGAAAATATTGAGGCAAAATCAAATTTAATCTAGCTAAGTGACCAAATGCAATTAAAAGATATTTGAGAATAGGCAAAATTGAAAATCATCTTTTGAGTTGAAACTGACAAAACAAAAGTTAGCTTAATTTGGTATCAAAAACCCTTTTACTCAGTAAAAATATTAACATAGTATATGTATTGGAGATAGAAGAATATACTGGAAATATACAATACAGGGATATGTTATATGTTATAAACTTAAACTTTATCATATGCCTATATCAACTTCATTTTCTTACAATCATTGCAAAACCATGGGCCCTTTGGCTGCCTGGCTATATCTAAACAAGTGTAATGATAGCATTTAGTTTTACAAGTCTCATTTTCACAAAAGATCATGTGTCCAAACTTTGGACTTCTACACACACAATATAAAGACCGGTCATGATCCAGTTTGTCATCCATTTTCAGGCAAATTACTTCAGGGAGAATAAAATTAAAAGATTTTTCCTGGAGAGTAGCTTTCAGTTCCTCAACAAAATGTTCATTTTTTGGAACAATGCAAAGTATCCCTTCCTTGCTTCCACCTGAATATATGAAAAAATAACCAAATGCAGCTTGACATAAATCCATTTGCAGCTGAATTTGGAAGTAATACTTATGATCCTGTTTCATCTCAAGGCTTTCATCAATTGGAAAGTTTTTGTCATTTTGCCAACCATCTAGACTTTCCTTAAATTTGTATGGACATTTCACTTCTAACACTGCTAATCCATGACAGGAACAAGTGACCAAACCATCGGGGAAGGCACCAAGGAATGGATAGTCAGCATCCACTTGTAATCCTACCCCGTTAAACTTAACTAAATCCTTATGATTGTTCCCTTCCATTTCATGAAATTTTTGTTTTGCAAATTGCTCAGTTTCTTTACCATATTCTGTGAATCTGGATGTAAAGGTAGTGTACTGCATGATAGAGTTTACAAGGGATGGGTTGTTTTTCATTCTTGAAACTTGAAAACACACAGAAGCTGTAACTCTTCCAGCTCTATGTACCATCCATGCATTAGATAATGACTGTTTTTTTGGTACTTCTTGCAAGTTATCATAAACTTTTTGGTGATAGCTGTTAACATATTGGTAGTATCTGGATTTCCCAAATTCATAAAGCTCTTCATCAGACATATTTATACTGGATGGAAGGAATAGACTGGTTAAAGGTTCTGGAATACAAAAATCTTCAGTTTCATCTACACTATCTGTATCACTTCCTGATGAATGGTGAACATTTTTAGCAGCCCCAGCCCTGTCATTGTCAATATAAGCTGACACATCCAAACTGGTAAATATGGCTAAGTTTGGGCTTATTTTATAGAGTGCACTCAATTGTTCATTTGAAATTGGATTGCTACCAGTTTTTGGATCGCTGCATGAATAATTTTTTACCTGTATATCTCTTGTGCTGATTGCTGGCCAAGTATGCTTCTTAGGTCTTCCAAAATCGATTGCTGACACTGGTGCAGGCTGTACACTCTTTCTCGATGCTTTCCATGCACACAGTTAACTTGTGCAGGCCCTTTTTTTATTCAACCGGAAGTGTACAGCGGCTTCAAGTTTAAACAGCAAAGCAGCAATATGGCTACATGAAGAACCAAGTCCTGCCATACAAGTACAGATTGAATCTAGCTATCTTCTCAGTGGTAAGGGGTTATTTCAAGAAAAAAGGCTATGAAATGAATAACTTGAAAAGTTAATATAGCAGAATGACTTGATGTAGCAGAATTCACTCTTCTCTTGTATTGCGTGGTGGTAGCAGTCATGCACATGTTCACACACAAAGTAATTGTAGGCTTCAAGGGACTTGTATGCTTTCATAGCTTCATTGGTAAACTGACTGTGAGAATCGATCAAGTATTGAGTTACGTCTCCCCACGACAAGTTCGGCAGATTCGATATATTATCAGTCCATTCCTGTTCCAGCAGAAACGGGTCAGGAAGCACTGTGCCGTCGGCTAACGTCAGTTTCCCAGCATCATGCTTTCTAGCGCAAGCTTCAAGTCCAAGAACGTAGTCTAAAAGCTTTTCCTCTAAAGCCATTTTAGATTTGACCAGTAAACAAAGACAAGTTCATGTTTATATTGGAGCTAGGCCATGTGTGCACGCATGGCAACCTGTAACCAGCTGTACTGAGAATTTGTTAACAATGTGTTTGTTTTCTGAAAACCTACATCCAGCATAGGCAGATGATAATGAATAAAAAGACACGCATGCAGAAACTCTCCATGTGCCTTATAACGTGGTTCTTTCCTTCTAATCCTTCAAATTGATACCGGCTTAACATAATATACAAACTTTTTGACTAGGAGTATGCACGCGCATAGTGTTTACTTTCTGTCGTGACGTCATGAGGCAAGGGGTCTATAGTATGATACTGAACGTGTTTTTGTAATTAAAGTAGTAGGACCCACAATTTTGTGGCTACTTCATCTGCACATGTTTGCCATCCAGGGACCCGATGCAGTTTGGAAAATTCCACAAATTTTCGTATTTCTGTGCTATTTTTTCCCATTCCTCTTCCATTGATGGTGTCTAAAATTAAATATTAAGATGTGAGCGATTTAGAGGAGCCAACATAAGGTGGTTTTAATGACGAAAAATCAGCAGACCAGGATGTTACTTTGGAAGAAAAGGAAGAAAGTAATTGAGTCAAATGACAAGATCCTTTTCTTGGGCAAAACATGTTTTTTACTGTACACCACAACAAACCTTTTGTTCAAATCCTCTATGATGGAAAACTACATTGGATTGCTGTTTCAACATATGGGTGTGAGTCTATGAAGGTCTTCTACTTTGACAATTTGTTCTCTGTTAGAATATCTGAAAAAGCTAAGCAACAATTGGGTGCAATCATGCATTCTTCAATGCCAATTCTGAAAATACATTTTGTCCCAGTTCAACAGCAATCAAATGGAGTGGGCTGTGATGTATATGACATCATTGCCTATACCAATTACGTTCTAAAAGAAAAGAGAAATCCTACTGAGGTGACATTTGACCAAGAGACAATGAGGCATAATCTATTAAGGTCCTTAGCAGCAAAAGGATTTAATTTGACATGACGTTCATCCCACATGACGTATACCATTCCACAACAACATTTTTGAAAGGTAAATTAATTACACATTTACTCGCAATCATTCAATTTTATAAACTTGTCAATTTCCTCTCTAAGATATTAAAATGTCTTATTTTAGATGTGTATTTGAATTCGTGAATCCAAAAATAAAATTATGTTGAACTTGCTTTATTTCAACAAAGATATTCTTTTACCTTTAGAGAAATATTAAGCAGTTCCATAAAAATTGCTAAAAATATTTTTTAAGAATTGTTTTCCATTTAAGACACATTTGAAAGGTAATTAAGGAATCTAACTTTTCACCAAAAGTTCAGCTTTTCAAAAACTTCAGAAACAGAGGCTAATGAAGTTCTTCTATTTTACTGTGGAAGGAAATTGCTTCGAAATTGGGTTGGAGATGAAAATTCGGCCATAGCAAGTATTCTTCATTTCATAAAGATATTATTTTACCGGAGGTAAATTAAATGGTTATCTTATCCATCGTGTTTGATTCAATGTTGTTGATATCAAAGTCAAATGAATAAAATCCTATTTTTTCCTATTTGAAATTATACAATTTGAAAAGCTAACCTTAAATCATATTTCTTCCAGATTTTAGCATATTTGGTCAGCGGCCAAGAGTGAATAACTCCTGCGCGTGCATGGGAAATTCTTGTAAGCTGCATATGTTCTTTAAGATAAAATAAAACGATATATTAGCTTGAAATTAATATTTATGGGGAAAATACAGAACAATAATCTAGATGTTAACAATGTAAAGAAGAAAAAGGAGCTCTTATGTGCATTTGTAATTGACAATTTTTATCAATATTTTTTACATCAATAGTGGTTACCCTTGATTGGCCTACCTAGTGCTTTTTCCCGCCAACCTCAAAGAAAATAATTATTGTTATTATCATTATTGATCAAATAAGGATTTGTAACGTTTTTTGTTAGTATGATGACCAGGTCTTTTTCTGTTAACTGCTTATTTTCTTAACTAAGATGGAGTTATCTGAAATACAGCTTTCTACCGTTTTAGGAAAAAACATCACGTTTGCATCAAGATCCTTAAGTGGAACTTCAATAAATCTATCAGGTAATGTGTTTCTAAAATATTGTTTGTCTTGGTATAGAAAATTCAATTTGAGCACATTTTACTTTTGACAGAAATAACACTGGATCTAAGAGAAATCAGGCTCAACTAGTTTTTATATTCAAAAGATAGGAACGAGGCTGTAGATGTATTCAACAGCAAATGCTTGCAAAAAAACACGAAATATTATAATAATTTCATTACAGTGGCCGTGAAATTCATCAGAAGCCTAGTTTCTTAGCGTAGTTTCGGTAAATCCTTACATAATGCCAAATGCTTGTACCACAGATGGAAAGGTACATGTTTCCAAAAAGCAAGGGAAGAGTTGCAGAATACTCCACCATCACTTATCCTTCCATTAGAACCAACATCCACGTAAATAAATTTGTAGTTGGCATCAACTAGTGCTAATAGTATGATACTGAACGCGTTTTTGTAATTAAAGTAGTAGGACCCAGAATTTTGTGGCTACTTTATCTGCACATGTCTGCCATCCAGGGACCCGGTGCAGTTTGGAAAATTCCACAAATTTTCGTATTCCTGTGCTATTTTTGCCCTTTCCTCTTCAGTTGGTGTCTAAAATTAAATATTAAGATGTGAGCGATTTAGAGGAGCCAACATAAGGTGGTTTTAATGACGAAAAATCAGCAGACCAGGACGTTACTTTGGAAGAAGAAGAAGAAGAAAGTAATGATGGGGATACAGCCTCAGTTGCAAGTCATGGCTCAACAAAAAAACCACTCTCAAGAAAACGAAAGAGTGACATTACAAGAAACTGTTTTGCTTGAGCAAGCTGTTTCAGTATTCAGTTCGAAAAAGGAAAATAAAGATGACCCGGAAGATATTTTTGGCAAACATGTGGCTGTAGTTTTAGGAGCTGTCTCTGACCTAAGGCAGCCTTTCCACTAGCCTGGGTTAAAAGTTATCCGTTTCTGCGTCGCATTCCCACTAACCCACTTGAAAAACGGACAAGTTTGAAAACGGGTCTCAAAGTGGGTCAGTTTTTACCCGGGTATCTTTTGACTCACCTGTGAGTTAATGGAAATGCCGAACCCGAATAACTTTTGATCCACTTGCAACAACAGCAACGTTTGAAAATTGAGATGGCGCCAAAAATCATAAAACAAAATCCTGGATGTCGATGTTGCTTCCATTGGCCTACATCGATAGAAATTGAAGGATTTTTGATGCAAATACTGATTTCTCTTACAACTTTTCACCCTGGATACATTTTAACAAAAGTGCTGTTTTTATTGACTCGCTTTAAAAACGGACAACCTTTAACCTGGGTACGTTTTAACCCAGGCTAGTGGAAAGGCTGCCTAAGAAACAGGGAACTTGCAAAACTAAAAATTCAAGAAATGTTACTTCAAGCCCAATTTGGAATGTTAGGCATACAACACAACGAAACAAATTTACAGTTACAGTCCACCTCCATCTCATCATTTGTTCCTAGGCCCAGTCAAATTTTCTGGTTTCATCCTTAAAAACTTCTTGTACTCATCCTTCTCCTGTTGGCGAAATTCCCTCAGCAATGTATCATACATTCTAAGTTGTAAACTTCTTTGTAGCCATTGTTTTACCCATTTGGACCACTGTTTTCTTCTCTTTTTTTGTTTTGAAATTGGGGCAATAATAATTGCAGAGGCAGCACGTTCTGTGTCGCTATCCATTGCAAAACTGAAAAACTGAAGAATTTTGACTGATCGTGTAAACATGCGGGCCTTCAGTTAAACTGATGGCAAAACAGATAAAAAAATTTTTTGGGCAAAACTGACAGAAAAAAACTGATCGTGTATTTCAGCCTTAAGACGTCTTCTTAATATAAATCTCAGTACAATCAATGAGTTGAAGGGTATTAATCTTCAAAGCATCTGGGCATTGTTTTAGTGACAGCTGATCTTCAAGGCCAACTTGGATATGGTTTGCACTCAGCATCTAAACTTCTTTTTTGGTCTTTTGACATACACAGCAGAATCAATTTTACTGGAATTTGTTTTTGAGCCAATGAAGATCGGATAGATAATGTACTGCTGGGCCAAATGAAACAAATGCAATTTTGAATGTCTGATAGCCCATAATAATTTTTTACTTACAAAGTATGTACGTCGTATATTTAAAGTAAGACGGAGAGATGATTATCAAACTCGGGTTTTTTCCCTTCATTCTGCCTTTTTCTTGCATGTTCTTAACCCTAAGACAGTCCGTCAACTTTCTTTCATTGAGTGCGTTCTAGAGTGTTGCGTATAGAAGAAATGCATATCTTGAGAAAATAGCGGCATTGTTGCAAATATTTATTCCAAAATCATATGCCTATTCCTGTTTTTGGTATTTTTGTAGGTGCAAGCAATGGTTCTTCTCATGGCAAAGTTTTTTAGGCGATTTGTCAACGAATTTTGTGGACACGAATTGTTATAAAGGCTTCAAAACGTTAGACAGTAAACGATAAAATGTTTTCTCTAAGCACGCAACGGCCCACGCTATCTTTCTCCACTGAAATAAATCCTCTGGTTTTTTTAGTGACTTAAGTACGGATTCATTTAAGAAAAAACACAGAAGAACTTACGAAGTGCTTGAGGGTTCAAGAATTGTATTCTTCTTTACTGTAAAATGTAGAGCGTCTTTGTTGAGTGAAAGGTTCAAGGTTTCCCAACTTTGCATGTCAATATATTCAAATATTTTTGCAAAGTTTCATTAAAACGAGTTGGAGAATGTACCACTTTACAAAATATAAGCTCAATAATGACCCTGATCGTTGTATTCCAATAAGATAATGAGAACTCAAAAAATGTAGCTTGTTATATCTCAATAGCTTTTTCAGTTGAAGGTTTGATTCAAACTTTTGCAGGTCATGCAGAGGTTTCAAATTTTACTTTACAAATTTTTAAACAAGCAATTTTTGAAATGACAAGTAAAATGTGCACAATTTTTTCAAGGTTTCTTTTTTGCTTAAATTTTATCAACGACCTGTAAAAAGATTTCAAAATGACCTGTTTTTCAATAAAATGACATGATGCCGCTTTCTTGGAGTACAACCAACCATAACCAACGTAAGCAGATTCAATCAGGGCAATAATGGGCTAAACGTTTCATCGCTTATCTCTGGTTAACGACCGAATTTCAAAAATGGGGACGGCAAAGTTTTAGATATACTCCTTTGCTATGCATAATTGTATGAAGCACTTCAATAATGACAATTTTCGCGTTCAGCGTTAACTTTTTGTGGCGCCGGTTTTTCCCCACAGCTTTGGATAGGAGGTGCGAGCGTTACTGTTGCGGCTGATTCGATGCTATTTTCTCTCCAGATTTCTATTGTCTTTGACGCTATACCATTGGCTGGTTCAAATTGTAAACAAACAGTCTGATTGGCTCAAAACATTTTTCATCCTTGTTACAAAGAGGACAGTTTCATGTATCTGGCCATTTTGCAAATTAAATGGAAATCCTCTGTGATGGATAAGAAGGCAATCTTTTTAGGCTTGCGTGTAGAGCCAGCCTACAAAGAACCTTTCAAGCCCAATACTATGTTCAAAGGATGTTTTTTAATACTGTCAAAGAAAGATTAAGGTGATTGCAGTATTTATCACTTCACATAAGGAAATGCGGAATGTTTGTCATACCCTTGAAAGTAGGTTCCAAAAGTGCCATTAGACTGTTTCTGATTCTGGAAGAGCCTCATAAAGACGCATCTTGGAGGTCTAGAAGCAAGTGCAGTTGTTTCTAGACCGTCCAGATGGTCAAGCAAGTCCTCTTGTGGAATTCTGTTGCTATCTTCCAAGAAAACCTTCCTGGTTTCACCACCCTGGTGCCCCCTGGTTTCACCCACCCTGATAAAGAGTTGTTGTAAGCTTGTAAAAGCAACAGAAGTGGCTCATCTTGCAATTGGGCCAGAGTTACCTGTTAAATTCTGTATTAAAAAATGAAAATCCCAGGCAATATATCTAGGAGACTTCAAAAAAGTCAAGAAATCTAAAAAGGTGAACAAGGTGATTTGATAAAAAAGCAACCAAAACAAATGATGAACATATTGACATGATCATGGAAAAAAGAAAGTAAAAAAAATGGCACTGCAAATTTAAATTCTTGCTTTGAGCATCAAGATTACCTTGAATAACTGGCACATCATTAAATGATGAATAAGTAGAGCCCGCAGTCCACTCTCCTTAATGTTTGTTGTGTTTAGGGGATAGTTCTTCCTCAATTCATGTCTCGGGGTAAAGAGGCAAGGCATTAAAAATGTGTTCCATGTCTCACGAAAATCTCAACGGAGCTTTTCCTGAAGGCTCTCCATCTCTACTCCGAGCCTAAATCTTCAGCTTAACAGACAAGATGACACACAATTCAATTGCAAAATCCTGTCCCTTGATTTCCTAACGTTTCTCATTAAGGTTACGGTAAACGTTTTGAACACAAAAATTGGTTTTTCCTTCCGAAAGGCCAAACGGCTCAAGGAATCTGGATAAACTATATATCATTCGATGCACAAGATTATGGCGTATCTAGCCAGATAAAAATTCCATGCGAATTTACTGGTAAAAAAGTGTACCACCTTCAAAAGCTATTATGTACCCTTGCGTTTGAGGTAACAGAATCTGACTTAGACCAGCAGGAAGTACAGGTCCTAAGCTACCAAAGTCTGTCTCAGATTTTTTAAAGTCCTCCTCTTCTTGAAACTTTACCCTGTCAAAAATTGGCAAATAATTTTTCCACCCTCCTGCAGCTGTATTTGGGTATAAAAGACGGACCAGAGAAAATAAAAAAATTTTGAGACACACTTTGTTTGCCCAACGTGCTAAGTACTCCTGCCAAAGATGCTAAATACTGTCCTCAACTTATGATGAATGTCAGGTCTTCTGCAATAACATTACAAAGATTCTCATAATTAGCTAAAACTTCTCATAATCTTACAATGGTTTCCAACAAAACATTACCATGATAAGCTTGCCTTACAACATTAATATCATCCAGCCTCTTATTCAACAATTTTTCTCTATTTCCCATTATGTTAAAACTCTAAGATTTGAATCTATCACAAATGGTACTTAGCCCAGCAATCTCCATTTTTAATGTTTCCTCTTTGGCAAGGCTCTCTGTTATCTTTCCTTAAAAAATGTCCAACAAATCACTCTCCTGTATTCCTCTACAGGAAAGACAAGAAAAGCTATCAATATTGTCCAATGCTAGCTCCTCTAAGGGGGTGAAACATTCACATAGAGTATTGCAGGTTTCACATAGCACCCATATGATATCACTGTCTACAGATGTAGGGCAACAGAGTACTGTACTGAGAAATAATTACATTTTTCTCATACTCCCCTTGTAGTACAGCTTCATCCTGCCAATCCGATTTTCAATCTCAATGACATCCCCTCCAATCTTCTCCAGCTCTTGGTTTTCCTCAGACAACACCATACTCCTCTGCAACAACTTTCTCTGACCATCATGACCTACACTCTCATTTCCAATGTTACTTTCAAGATCAATCTGTTGGCAAACACTCGATAAAAAATTATATAAAAGCATAGTTATCCTAAAAAGTATGTGTTAAATGGGGGGGGGATTACATATTCTAAACTCCTGATGGAGAATAACATCTGCTCTATAACACTGTCATGATTTTTACCATTCTCTCTTTTTCCCATCACATCTGTCATCACAAAGTTTCTCATTATAGCTTAATGTGTAATCTTCAATTGACCTCAGAGGAATCTTGCAAGAAGAGGGTGTATGAGGGTTACCACCATGAGTTCTTAAATTCTTCAAGGTTACTTGGTCTAGGCTACTGGGATAAGTTGATGCAGAGCCCTGGTGTCCTAGCATATATTCAAGAAAATCTCCACCTAGAAAAATCTTAACCTTCCTACCATTAATGCTGAAGTCATCTTTCTGAATAGCAACAATCTGCTATCTGAAAATGCCCATTACTTTCCACATATTTTCTAGAGTATCAGCTCCTTCAAACATGGTGTAAAGATGAACATTGTCCACAGAACCAGAATTGATGCTATTAACAGCCTTCACGTGAAACGTAACATAGCCACCACCTTTGTCCCCTGCAAGAACAACCCATATTTCATTGTTAAACATTGCAGGGTCCTTTTCCCCAGGCAAAGAAAATGTTGCAAATCTCAACAAGAAAATGTTGCAAATCATAAATTGTAATGAAGGGAAGCATTTCAGTGTGTTCAGAGGTGGTCATCCTTTTTAAAGATATTGATCCACTCTCAACACACTCCTCTGCTGTCCACCATTCTCATTTCCTGCACAAGCGTTTCAAACTGGCCGAACTGTTTACGAGCAGAAAATATTTTTCTGACCCAGAATCTCTTCTTCCTGTATTTCTTGCCTTGCAGTAGCCGCTTTTTCTTTCGCAATAGAGCGATTGGCATCAAAAGTTGACCTTGGATTTCTAACTGGCCTTTATCAGCAGCCATGTTCCCAAACTGTAGTTTTGGCGCTCAAATACTGTCTTTCGCATCGGGGATCATCCCCGACCATCAGGAAACATCTCCGACCTTCGGGATCGTCCCCGACCGTCGGAAATAGTCCCGGACCATCGGGAGTGCTGTGCATTGGGGATCATCGCCGACGAATTACGATATATGAAAACCAGGCTTAAGTTTATAACACTGTATTACAAATGTGTTGAACAAAACTTACCTTTTAATTCTGGGTCGAGCTCGCAACATAAAAATCGAGAGTTAAGAGTCAATCTCAGGAACAAGGCGGCTCAAGCAAAGTGGGATCCCCCTTGACCAAAGTGTGCTTATTGAAATGATTACGGCTGATACGATGCAAAAGTTGGGTTGTTATGTTGAGGGCTGTAATAACGATTCAAGATATCCAGACAAGATAGTTAAGGGAAGCAACATAGAAGAGCTGAAGTTTTATTACTTTCCAAAAGATGCCAAGAAGAGAAGGTTGTGGGTGAAGGAGGTGGAAAAGGGACCAATTGGTCTTCAAATCTCAAAAAACAAGTGCTTCAAAGCCTTTTCCGAAAAAGCGGCTAAGCAGACAGAACTGAATGGCTGATGTTGCTCAGCCACCATCTTCCGAAGCTTTACAGTGCTTCGATCCCAATCAGCCATGGTTTTTGCTGATTTGAATAGAGATTGTGATGTTACCTTTTTACAGGCCTTTGAAATTCATCAATTTTCAAGCTGGTTTTTTAATTACTTTCATAAAGGTTACAAAAATGCACTGTTGGAAGGGAAAGAAAAATACTTCTCAAGTAAGGCTTGAAAAATGCTACGTTAAGATCTCTTTCAGTGGATCAAAAGCTACTATCGCTATTAATGTGTCCTTGATTAGGTTTGCTCACAATGATTTGGCTCAGAGATTTATGGTTTCAAAAGGATAATTGAGTTGTATTTTTACAACTTGACCGCCATTAAGTGCCTTGAAATGAAATGGTTCATTCATTGGACAGATAGGCATATTATTCAAAGAACATACCCAGCATGTTCAGAAAGTACTGCCCGAAATATTGTGTAATGGTAGACTGCTCTGAACTGTTCATTAAGACACCATCAAGCCTAGACAATGCTGCTGCCTGCTGGTCAAATTACAAGCATCATTCCACAGTAAAATACTTGGTTGGAATAACCCCAAATGGAGCCATAAGCTACCTATCAGGTTGTTGTGGAGGTAGAGCTACAGATGTCCACATTGTAAAAAATGCTGGATTTTTTAGAGAGCTCCAACCAGGAGACCAAGAGGGTTCAAAATAAGAGACATTTTGGCCTTTTATCAGTGTACTCTTGCAATTCCTCCTTCAAAGCACAGGGAACTGCAAATGGCAAAAAATGGTGTTCAACAGACATCCAGGATAACAAATGTGCGTATAAATGTTGAGCTAGCAATAGGAAGAATGAAGAATTTTCGCATATTGAAAATGAATGCCTCTTTCTTTGCTCCTCTTATTGATAACATTGTGTCAGTTTGTGCAGTTCTAACAAATTTTATGCCACCTCTTTGTTCTGATAACATGTTCTGATGATATAATAACGTCATTGTATTCTAAGAGAATATAGCCAATGATATGTTTCACTCTTTAACGACAGTTCCAGAGGTTTAGCAAACTTGGTTCTGCATAGCCAAAAGTGCTTAATTTGAGAATAATTTTCAAAATAAAACCCCTTAAGACATATATATATATATATTCTACCTAGCCTGTTTTAGCTATTCAAGTAAAAAGATTCAATTTTAACTAAAACATGCAGTAATCCTCTTGGTAAACAACTGGCTAGTAGAAGTGATGACAATGTACTATCATGATTTTGGAAAGTTTTTGAGACCACTGAGCACTATGCCCTCTCGTGTACATTCAACCTTTTTCATATAACAAGCTAAAAGCTTGTTGTACAAAACATATTTTCATATTGTTGATCATAACACTATCACTTGTTAACTATTCTTTTCTACAAAAACAAATTATTAGTTTATGTTAATCGCATTACTCCTAAGTCCTTTAATAAACCTCTAGATGTAAACTTTGATAAATTATTATAGGGTGGGGGGTTTATTCAAGGGTAGGGCTTCTTTGAAGATGGAGGCATATTTGACGCCTTTAGGTAATGTGTAGCAAGTAATATACTATTTGATACATGTATTCTGTGTTCCTTGTACGCATCACTTTCTTCTTCAATGTTGCAATCCCCAATGGTACCAAGCATCACATATGACACATCGAATGCTGTTTTCTTAAAAAGAATCAAGCTCTTTTTCATTTAGAAATGGCTCTTCACAAATTGGACAAGTAAATATTTCAATGCTTCCAAGCAAGTACCTTTGGATATATGTTTTAAAAAACATCATAAGATTTGGGCATATTTTTTGCCAGTGACGTTCATCAAATTGTATTTTCTCTACAAAAATACATTTATTTCTGTATACAACGAAGTATGCCTGCCTTAGTCCAGTTACTGCCATTTGCCCTGTGACTTGTGCAATATATTTGTGGCTTTATTTAGTTTAATCATCAAAACTGATCCTTGAGGATCACTGCAATTCACTGTAAGCAGGTTGGAATTGTGTCCATTAATTGACACATATTGTTTCTCTGAAAAAGGTAAAATTTGAACCAGTCCAAAGCACATCCACGGATGCCATAATGTTCAGGCTTAGACAATAAAATTTGGTGATTGACAGTGTCAAATGCCTCTAAAAGCCTCTAAAAAATAAAATGCTAAGGAGTGGCTTCCTATATAAAAATGGCATCTCCCATCAAATGCAGCAGAAATGCACAAGTTGAGCCTGTGAGATGCACCGTGGGTAAACAGTGCCAAAGTATTCAGGTTCATAATAAGGGCAGCTACACCATAGTATTTACCAGCCATGTTACCACCTACATCATAAGACTGACCATACCTTTTTTCAATTTCAAGATTCAATTCATTTACCAAACAGTCAATGATCTTATCTTTAAGGGTTTCTCCTGATACACTTTCATCGTAATAAATGAACTTGTTGAATTTTTCTTGGATAATATTACTACCATCAACATTTCTGACAACAAGAGGCATTTGCTTCTTATTGGAACAGTTAGTAACTTGTCAGCAAGAATAAAAAAAAATATAGACCATTTGATTTTTGCAATGGTCGTATTATTCATTACTTCATTACAGCATTACCCATAATGTTCAAGCTTAGACAATAAAATTTGGTGATTGACAGTGTCAAATGCCTTTAAAAAATGAAATGCTAAGGAGTGGCTTCCTTTATAAAAAAAGGGCGTTTACCATCGATAGGAAAGATGTGGCCAAAAATCCATGGTGCCCAATGATAGGAAACCAATGATTTTTTGCTTCCATATGGCATTAACATTTTTGCTTCTTTTCAAAATTTTATCACCGTAATAATTGCCTATGGACCTCAGCAGCATCAACTTGTTCTTCATTGTTACATCTTCTGATTTCCAAATGAGGTCCATAGTGTTGGCAAACCTGCTGTATGCTTGTGAGAGCTGGATGATAAGCAGAGCAGATGAGCAAAGAATAAGAGCAATGCAGATAAAGTCATACAGGCGGTTATTGGGAGTAACTTGGAAAGACAGGAAGACAAATGAGTGGATAATGGATAAGATCAAAGAGATATGTGGATATGAACCGGAAGATGTGATGGATGTGGTGAAGAGGAGGAAGCTGGTTCGTGGAGGAGGAACTGGTAGAGCTGTGATGGAAGGCGGAATGGAGGGAAGCAGGGGCAGAGGGAGACCACAGAGAAACTGGATAGGGAATATTACTGAGTGGACGGGAGAAAGAGGCAACACCTTGAGAAGTATGACGGTTGATCGGGAAGGCTGTAGAAAGGCTATCACGAACTGGGTGCACCCACGGCCGCCTCGGCTATGGAGCTGATGATGATGATGATGAATAATTGCCTGACACCATCTTTGTTTTGACACAGAATAGAGTGGCAAAGTGAATACGTCACGTTGCCTCCGTCACCAAATTTCTGTTCTAAACAAACCAACAAATATGGCGTTCTTTATTACCTCTCTGTGTATATTCTTTGAAGGCGAAAGAAAATCGATTTCTAGAGGTCAAAATCATTAAAAATTTGGACATGTAGAGTCTATTGCATACATTCCTGGAGTTCTGAAAGGTGAGGTTCGCGCTAGCATGAAGGGCAAGGTCTATGTTACGATGAGTTTTTAATATTTACTGATGCCTGCAGTCTCTAAAACTTTAGTTAGATTTAGGTTTATGATAATAAGTGAATAAAATCTAGCCTAAAAAGGGTTTAAAAAGTTTGTGGCTTATTTATATCAACGATGGACCAACAAGATAATAAAGTGGTCCGATTTTCTATCGATTCATAATGCCGTTGCCCTGCTAAAAAGGTGGCCTTAATCGGAATCGTCCTTCCAGCGCATCTTCAATAAGCTTTTTTTCCACTACTCTTGGGTCATACAACTTAAATCAAAAGCTGTTGGCCAGAAATTATAGATTTTTTAGCTTCCTAGCCCTTATAAATGTAACAGGTCAGAATGAGTTGAACCCACACTATGGATAAATATTTTTTAGTTGTACATTCGTGTAAATGGCACTGCCCATGATGGGCACTGATTTCCAGAGTTCAACCTTTGTAAAATGATTTGTGAATGCTACCATAAATTCTCAAATTAGACTCATTTAGGGAGGGGCTTGTCAAATTGCGGCGTTTTTGGATGAGGCCAAATTCGAAGGGGTGTTTATACCGGAGAGGGGGAAGATGGCTTTTAAATATTATCTCGAAGTCAGTTTCGAAGTGTGTTTCACTTGATTTGCCAGCTGATTTTATATCCAAAATTGTGAAAATGCTTAATTTTTGTTTTGTTTTAATTTGATACCTATCGATGGTTGATTATGGATTTAATTAATATGTTATACTGGAGTGTGCTGTATATAAATTAGCTACCATGTGAACATATGAAAATGCTAAAATTCACAGTTTGGGTTGGGTCTATTCCAGCATGAAGCTCATTAAAGATGGAGTAAAAAAATTTAAGATTTATGGTATCTATTAAAAAAATCTAATTGAAATATCAATATTATTCTGACCTTTTCCAACAAGTAATTATGATGATTATTCCATCTGTTGAAAAAATCCATTCTTGTTTGAATACATATATTTTTTCAGGTATATGTTGATGAGAGCTACTTAATAAAATCAACACAGTGTGAATGCCCTAGAGGTGAATTCAAGTGTAGCCATGCAGCTGCCCTTTTTATTCATACCATCAACAGCATTAGTGTGACGGATGTGGAGTGTTCATGGAAAAAGCAGAAGACGGACAATTTTTCCACACATGTAGTATCCGAACTTTATCAACCGAGAGGTCCAGAATATGTTCCACTCACAAGGGAGCCAGATGATGAAGATAAATTTGCACTTTATGCAGATTTGTGTAATTATGGCCGATCTACAGGCCTGTGGTGGCTTTTAAGTCCTGAGCCTCAAAAGCAAGAGAAGGCTCAAGTAAAATTGGTCAAAGAAGTTGTCTTTTCAAGCAAAAGACTGGAAATTCTTCATTTCTTGGAAGGCTTGGTTTTATAAAATGCAAACTTTTGGTCAACTAACAGGAGATTAGTCAGCTAGCAAGCTAGTCAACTTACTGTTGGAGGGAGGAAAAATCCACAGTGGCATCTTGTTAGAAAAGAAAGGCTAACAACAAGTAGGTTTGGCTTAGTCCTGAATGCCAAGAGGGTAACACCTTCCTTAATTAAACAAATTCTTTGAAAGTATGATCTATCTGGAGTTAAATCTGAAGCTGAGGCTATTTGTGCATTCTCTAAAAGAACCAAGCTAGAGCTTGTGAGCACAGGAATATGGCTTGACTCTTCTTGGGTTTTTGGTGCTTCGCATGATGGTTTAGTACTTTTGGATCATGTTTTTGAAGTTAAGTGCCCCTATACAGAAAAAAGATCAGGCACTTGAAGAGGCACTAAAAAGCAAGACATTACGTCTACAAAAGGAAGGATCCTTGTATCTTTTGAAGAAAGATCGTTTATATTGGCATCAGGTACAAGGAGAAATGTATCTCACAAATAGAAACAACTGCTATTTTGTTGTGTGGACACTATCATGATTGGAAATCACCAAAAAAATAGGGATCCTTCTTGGGAGAAAAATATTGAAAAGGTAAAGAATTTTTATTTTGGCAACATCCTACCAAAAATAATGAATGATGAACTGTTTTAAAAAATACATTGGTATGTTGCTTCTTTAACTTACAACTGTTTCTACTGCTATGTTACAAATATATCAATAAATTTAGGGAAAAAATCAAAGTCAGTTGATTCACAGCATTCTTTAATTAAAGGAAACTGCAGGTTAACCAATGCTGCTCAAAGCTCAAAGATGGTGTCGATATGGCTTTGTACATAGGGTGGCACAAATCCAAGTATTTTAAAATCTTTCAGCCTTGCATTTACATGCTCGACATGAATTCTGCACCTTGCAATGTTTTTTGTTGCTGCACCTTCACTTTCTGTAAATTTTCCATGTTGCAAAAAAAGTGGAATATTAACAGAAACTCCCAAAGGTACCATTTCGTGTATCGAAAACATTTTTTCTGCTGGTATAAAGTCTCCAATTTCCATTTTGCTAAGCAACCCAGACTTGTTCACAATCTCCTTCTCCGAGATCGTCAAGGCACAGTTTCAGGAAATTTTTTTGGGGTGCAAGTTTTATCTACACAGTACATTTTGGTAGCGTACACTATGTTAATGCCATCAGAATAGTTTAGCACTGTTAATATTATATGTTACTATACTATTAACGAATATAATGTTTGAAATTGTAGCAACACAGCAAAAAAAACGTTGAGCCAAGTGTAGGTATGTATAATTTTGACAAAGTTTCATAAGTGTAATGAAAATCTGATCCTCAAATGAAATGCTGACAACTTTCCACCCTGCATAATACACCATTGATTATTTAAATCTTTCTGCATGACGGACAACAATTTGGAAAATTTCTTTGGTGGGCAGTCCAGTTTCCATGCAAATGATCTCTTCACTAAGAGTGCATGCAGCATAATTTTTTTTTTGTAAGAGGCTCCTTCTTTTCTTTCTGCCAGGTCATTCCTTGTTTGTTCCAGCTCAGCTTTTAGTATAACTTCGTTAAGGGGAAGCACATCTTGATCAACAACTGGTTGTTGCTCATTTTCTCAAAACCTAGCTACAATATCTGCAATTGTTGCTTCATCGCTCTGTTTTCTTTTTTTGACTTGTGGCTTGCTACTAGAGGATGGAAAAATCTTTTCAGCATCTCTGGCATAAATTTCAGGCCCAAAACACTCCATTTCTGAAATGACAGCGACAGACCCTTGAATGGGTGCTGGGCTCTCTATCCTCTCTCCTATATAGGAAATAAATTGGACCACATTTAATTTTTATCAAAACAACTAAAATGTACTTTTCAGATTTTTCTTTTGACTGGTATAAAGGCAAGTTTGAGACTCAAGTCATTTTCTTAATTTAAAAGAATTTCCTTTTATTAAAGCAAATTCAATATATTTGAGCACAGGTGCTGACTTTCTCTAGAGGTTTTGATTTTCCCAGGGATGGCCCAAGACTCAAAAAGAATTTTTTAACTGAAAAAGGGTTCTTCTTGTTTAAAAGATGTTTATGGCACAATTCGATCTCAATTATTGACAAGGAACCACGCCAAAACATCATAGGGAACTAAAGTGTGACATCATGTCGCATAGCAACCAAATTTTTTGTTCTAAACAAACCTTACTCTGTATATGAAGTCAATAGGTTATAATAAAAAGTCAGCTTTTCGTGTTATTCGCATATTTCGTGTTAGCAAAAGAATCAAGGAATCTAATCTAGGAATCTAATTAATTGCAGATGGCTCTTGGGTCCTATTCAAAACTTTATTCAGTCTAAATTCATATTTTTATTCATAAAATTTGCTTGTTATTCATAAAATTTGCTTGTAATCATGAATATTCAAAGTCAAGAAGAGGATATCATGTTGCAAAGTCTGCAAGAATCCAGTGAAAAGGCGTTATGTTCCAAACATAAACAACACTTAATTCTAATATATTGCATGCCCCCTATTCCCAATTTCCTTTTTTTAAGTAAAACACGATCCATTTTTCAAGTTTATTTGTGTGTCAGCTATGGTAGACTTGATTCAAGTAGAAACAGAATTGTTTCAATCAAATATAAAATCAATTATGGTATACTTAATGACAATACTTAGTGAATATGTAACTATTTGAAAGGATTATTTATACACCATTAAAGCTTTCTTGAAATTATCCTTAAAACGTTTCCTGAATACCTCTTAAAAATCCTTCTCTAAAAATATGTACTTGTGTTAAATACAATTAAAAATAGGATACAGTAATTATTCAATTATCCGACCCACTGTTTATCTGGACTTCGATTAGCAGGTCGTAAAAAATGTGAAAAACCTTGGGAAATTGTTCATAATTTTTTATAATATGTGGGGAGAATTCTTGTTGCTCTCCATTCTAAATATTTTATGAGTATTTTAAGAGTATTGAGTGCATTAGATTGTAATGTGTGCTTTGAAATAAACTTTCACAACAATCATCCTGTTTATTTATGTTGGTTTCTGCCGTTGTTTGTATGTTTTCAATTATCAAGAATTTCTGATTATCCACACAAATCTTGAAATAATGAGTCCCTAGAAATCCGAAAATTTGAATAAGTACTGTACTATTTATTACAACCAATCACCCGAATGACATGCAGCTGCAATCACAACACAACAACACAACAACCACAACAATTCCTCCCCCCTTATAATAAGACTACATGTTCACTACAAAGAAGATCGATCACTTCCAATAATTTTTTTTTACCATTAGGCCTAAGACAATCGAATGTATATAAAAATATGGATTTTTTATTTTACGCAAAGTTTAATTCCATAATTAATGACGATAAATATTAATTGCCTCATCAATTTTGTAAGTTATATTGAGGCTGCTTTCCCTATTCAATATCGTTGTCATAATCATCATCATCATCTGATTCGATATCAACTGTGTCATTTTCTTTGTTGCCATTAGACTTGAAGTAAAAATTTAATTCTGATTTACTGAAGTTCTTTGTTACTTTCCTCAATCGATCCCTTGTCTTCTCAATCAAAACGCCATAATAAGGATGCTCATTCCTGACTACTTCATATGGTCCAATCCATTTTGGCTTCAACTTTGTGGTAGATATCGGAAAGTTTCGGTTATAAATATGCGATAGATCTAAAGTTTCGGTAGGCATATAAAAACCTTATCTCCTACATTTAATTCAGAGTCAATTATCTTCTTATCAATATATGTTGCAGCTTTTGCTTGTCTGGCCTTCCTCTTTTCATGAGCAATTATATATATTTTTCAAAATTCACTCTCAAATTGATTTATTGCAAAGTTTTCACTACCAAAATATGACATCAAGTTCCCATAAAGAATATCCAGAGGAATTCTGTACTTTCCTCCCCCAAAAATGCGTTTAGCTGGACTATATCTCCTTGAAGTGTGGACAGAACTATTATAACAATATGCCAATTCTCTCATCCACAGATCCCAGACCTTAGAATCTTCTATGTGAACAGTAAGTATTGTTTGATAGTTCCGTTATTTGATTGTTCTGTTAATCCATTTGCTTGTCACCTGTACCTTGTTTTTTAAGTCTCTTTACCCCAAGTTCATTCATTAGCAATTGAAATAATTTGGACTCATCAGCAGGGTCTTGATCTGAGTGTAACAATAAGGGTTCTTGTTATGACGGTGAAGAACCAGTTAATAACCAAGCTCGTTAGTGGAGCAATGGGCTAGGCCAACGGGCCTTAGCCCCAAATAGATAGCACACAAGAGATACTCGTTATTTGATGTTATCCCTATGGTAAAAATAGTAAGACTAACTTATAACGTGATCAACACAAACTAATAACCAAATAAAATAAACCGAAGCTAATCAACAAGACAACACTACATGTTGAAAGACAAGCACATTGCCATAAAAAGGCGTTGTTCACTTACACAGCATGACTTGCCAGAACATGTGACTATAACACGCAACGGGAATATTACTAAAATTGATTAAATACGAAAGCCAAACCGTTACACTATCCCCTCTGTAGATACTTAAAATGTAGATACACTGAGGTGAAAATTCTCAAAGTTTAAAAATGACTAAAAGTAAAAAGTCTAAAGAGTCATTAAGGCACGGAGGCAAAACTGTCAAGCGAAGGTAGTCTCTACTTCATCGCCCGATGTTTCCAATTCAAAACGACATCCTTTGAAAATAAAGTCTAATCTGAAGGATCAGCTGCCCTTCTGCTGCAACCCTCCATGGCCAGCACACGCTCAACTACAATCTAGAAAAAAACGTCCTTTAAACCTCAAGAATTCCATCACCACGTGTTTCTCTTTTATTCAAGGGTATCGGGAACAGTGACAAAATAAACGTTTAAAAAAAACAGCAATAATCAGCAACACAAGAAAAAGCATCGATATCGGGCCAAAGTCCAAACGAAATCTCCTCCTTCAGCCTAATTTCTCTTCACCACCATCCGACTCTACTTCTCTACTTCACCACCATCCTTCTCCTGTCAGCAAATGTAACGATAAGGGTTCTTGTCAGAACATGTGACTATAACATGTAACAGGAATATTACAAAAATTGATTAAATACGAAAGCCAAACCGTTACATGAGTAAAGTTTCAAAGGTATTCCAAAGATTAAGAAATATCTTCATTGATTTGAAGATAAATTCCTCAAACAAAGGTTACAACAGGTAATATTTTAACACATTTATTACCAAGACATATCCTATGTTGCTGGCTTCTTTCTTTTCCGAGATTCTTGCTCTTTGTTTATGTCAACCTATTTTTTGCAAATTTCTTTTTCAATCTGTTGCAAAAGCCATCCCACAGCTCTTGTGCCGCCTTCCAGCAAATAACCGCAATCACTATCTCCATTTACATTTTCTCCTCTAAATCAAGAAGAAATATTGCTGTTGTTCTATTAACTCATTCACTCCCATAGCGACTATAGTCGTCATCCCCTGCTAGCAACTGTAGTTGTCACACATTTTCTTCAGTACAATAGCGACTACAGTTGTCCTTGAAAAACAATGGTATTTTTACGAAAACTGTATTTGATTGGCTAATTCAATTCAAATGGACAAAGAACCAATTTATGGCTTCTTAGATGAAGAACTGAATTTCGAACTGGTGGAGAGATGGAGGGGCGTTGATGTCGAAGAAGAGAGCCATATAGACATTGATGGTTCATCAGCTGATTCGCTAGGCCTAAGCGACACGGAAGATAGTGAGAGGGAAGAGCGTGATGAGGAAATCATCACAGAAGAGGGCAATTGGACAAAGAATTTGAAAGACTTCGACAATTTTGTAGAGTTTACTTCACCAGTTGGTCCAACAAAATCTCTGGGTGAAGATGCAAGTGAAATTGACTTTTTCGAACTTCTCTATCCAAAGGAACTGTACGCTCACATTAGCACTGAGACGAACAAGTATGCTCTCCACAAACGCCATTCTCCATTGGTTCCAGACAACGGTTGGTATCAAACAACTGTAGAAGAAGTCAAACTTTATCTGGGAGTCAGAGTTTATATGAGCATTGTGAACTTTCCATCATTTGGGCAATATTGGAGCAAAAAATCAGTATTTGGAAATTCTTTTATTTCAAATCTGATGTCGAGGAATAGATTCCAAAAAATTAACGAATATTTTCATGTTGCTGATAGGACAACAATGCCTCCCAAAAGTTCGCCACACTTTGATAAACTCTTTTTAGTGAGACCTGTCCTTGATGCTGCTCGCAAAAATTGCTTGAAAGCATATAACCCTCATAAATGTTTTGCTATTGATGAGGCCATGATAAAGTTTAGAGGGCGTTCCAGCTTGAAGCAGTATTTGCCTGCCAAACCAACAAAATACGGCATCAAAGTGTGAATGAGGGCAGACTCACTGAATGGTTTCTGTAAAGAATTTTTTGTTTACACAGGAAAACCCACAGGCAAAGAGCTAGAGAAAAATCTAGGTCAAAAAGGGAGCTGACCGAAAATATTGAAAACAAGGGACACCACGGTTACACCGATAACAATTTCACCACTGTTGCGGGTGTGGAGGAACGTTTCAAAAAAGGAGTTTACTTGTGTGGCACGATCAAGTCAAATGCCAAAGGATTCCCACAAGAAATAAAAGGAAAGAAAATATGCAAGGAAGCTGGATCTTACATCCAGTTTCAGAAAGGGGGATCGGCTTTGTCAGTTGTGGCATGGCGAGAGAAAAAGTCTCGAAAGCTAGTGAGGATTCTCTCGGCCAACGTCAACCCGTCTGCCAAAATTTCATCTGTTGCTTGAAAGCAGAGGGATGGAACAAGAGTTCCAGTTATGTGCCCAATCCAACTTTCGAACTACAACAAATTTATGAATGCTGTAGATCGCAATGACCAGATAAGGACACAGTATATGACCTATCGTCGCTGCAACCGTTGGTGGACATATATTTTCTGGTTCCTATTTGATTTAAGTGTGGCAAATTCATTTATCCTCTTTAAAGAATCGTCAAACCACAAAACAAAAAACCAGTCTGTGAAAGATGAAGGCATCTAGGTTGGTAAAGTTTAAAATACGAAAGACACATTATTTTTTACATTGTTTTAAATTAGATAAGCCGTTTTTTCAATGTATGTAGAGTTACTTTAATATTAAATATTTTTTTGTTCGAAGCCATCGTAAAAAATTATTTGAGAAAAGCTTTGGTGTGCTTTCTTTTCTGATTTCTGCCATTTTGCTTTGGGACAGAAGCGATTGCAAACAAATTCGTAGCCTGGGATCGAAGGCCATTTGGCGCGTAAACTTTACGGTAGTGAATGAGTTAATTTAATCTGTTTATAATCGTCATCCAAGCACTGATATTTTTGGTGATATGCTCAACTATGATGATGATTGTGATATTTGATAACACATATTACCATAACAAATATTAAAAGTGTCATAATTCATACCAACTGAAATGCAGCCCTTCTTTTATAAGTGAAGAGCACGTTTTGCTGCTTGGTCTCTGGAAACAGATTTTCCTGCAAACGAAACAATTTCCACAAAGATAGTATACTTACAAAGTTCAGTTGAATGCCAAAGTTCAATTACAAGTGTCATAGATATATCAAGAAAGCAATAACAATTGTGAGTTAATTGTGCAATTCATTAATTACACTCAATTTTATAAGAACATGAGCGTTAAAATTGGTCAAAAGTTAAAAACAAATTAAGAACAAGCTGGGGCTGAGGCTGAGCTATTTTAGAATGCAATTTTGAACAACGTTTTATCTCAGAAACAAGGAATTTTAGCCATGTTTGGGTGCTTTTTCGGTAGTGAAGATTCAAACTTGGCGGTGAATGAAGGTTGCCTCACCCACTTTGTTGTCAAGTGATGCCTGAATACCTCCCTAGAGCTAAAAGCTAGCAATTGCACTACTTACATCCTATTAATTTTAAAAAAAATTAGGAACAATCTAGCCTTAGATTTTTCAAAAAATTAACAACAGTCAGCCACAACTTGAATCATCTGATGGCTTAACATACACACAGACATTGGACACCACAAAGTATCCATCAGCGTTTTGTTTTCTTATATACTGCAAAGACTCTAGGGCAAGTATTTATTATTGTTAGCAATATCAAATTGATGACTTAACAATGTTTAGAATTTCTAGGTATATCAATCTGTATGAGAAAATCAATAACATTAAGACATTCTGGTTAAGACAACAATCGGTTTTTGCAAAACCAGTATGTTATAAACACTTCGCCTTTAGCAAGAGTCATCTTCAGTACCGTATTTACTAAAAATGAAAAGAACTGGTGTATAAACTTCTATTAATAACTGGTGTTGACCAACAAAACTTGTTTCTTTCATTGCGAACTTTCAATATTTTATTAAGAAAATAAATACTATTGCGTTATTAAACTTAAACTCAACTCAAACTTAAACTCAAAATATTTTTTCAACATAAAATTGATTAATTACAATATACGGGTTAACATAATTATACTAAATATACAATATCCAAGTTAATTTGGCTAAATAACAATGAATGGTCAACGGCAATATTTTATAGAACAGCAATGAGAATTAAACAATTTTAGGCTGATGGACACATGGAAGAACTTTGGGCAAGCTATCGAGCCATGTATCCAAATTGACGTGTTTATAATGATGATTTTAAGTTTGAATAATAACAGTAAGATATAACAAGAATAAAATAAAGTAGAACGAAATAAAAATTGGACTATGTTTGATATTGTAATAACAGCTAAGTGCAATTATAAAATAATCATAAAGTAATCAAGCCTACAGATGTCAAATTTTGTTTATAAGAAAATATTTCATCTGTTTCACAAAGTGGTGTTTATTATCCATCTTTTTTAACTCTATAGGTAGGGAGTTCCAAAATTTAATACCATCAAAAGTGAGAAAGTTTTTTTTAAAGTTTGTAGAAATGGATGGAAGAGAAAAACCTTCAGAAGAAGATCGCCATGTATTATAATTGTGTACATTTTTTGTTTCTACAAAGTCGCCTTCAAGAGAAGTTTTGTCAGAGATAATTTGATATATCATTTTGCTGTCTCAAGCAGGTAAAGTTTATCAAAGTTAAATATTTTAAGGCGTTTAAATATAGGTTCACTATGTGCAGTGAAGTTCGCAAAGTCAATTACTCTAACTGCTTTTCGTAAGTTACGTTTTAAAGGTTCCAGGGTAGTTTTATTAGCACAACCCCAATTTAATATACCATATAGTACATGTGATTGAAAGAATGAGGAGTATAAAGTCTTAAGAGATTGTTTTGGTATCAGATGTCTTAATTTATATAGCACTCCGATTCCTTTTGATAATTTTAAATTTATTTGCTTTATATGCAATTTCCAGGTAAGCTTATTATCAATTATTACTCCAAGATATAGTGTAATTTTCTTGTTTGAGATCTCTGTTATTAATTTTTAATTTTACGTTTCTATCAGTTTTACGAGAGCTTATCAGCAAGAAGTTCGATTTAGATACATTTAGCGATAGCTTATTAGCCAATAACCACACAGATAACCTTGTAACTCCGAATTGGTGGTTTGTTCTAGGATATCAAGATTTTTGTTAGCCAATAAAATACTGGTGTCATCTGCAAATAGTCGAAACTGAAGAATTTGAGAAGATTTATAAATGTCATTTATATAAATCAAAAACAATAGTGGCACAAGTACACTACCTTGTGGGACACCACAATTGAGAGTCATAAAACGTACCAAATTCTGGTGTTTTACAAACAGTGTAACGATTCGTTATGCGCATGCCCATGACAGCATATCCTTTGTCAGACAGAAGTTGAGTTCTATTCTACTCAAGTGGTCATCGATACTAGTTCGTGTACTTTATTGCTTGGAATAAGCACATTTTTCGTTCGTCATGGATGCTCAAGTAACCAGAGAGGAAACCAGAGAAACTAATGAAGAGACTAATAATGTAAAATTTTGATTTTGCCCCTTTGCATGAATCATATTGTATGGTTAGCAATGCCGTCGGAACAAATTTCATATGGGGGGGGGGCTTTTCATTCAGTACATTGTTATAAAGGAAACATACTGCAGTTTGACAATTATTGGGGGGCTCCAGCCCGTTTCTGGTGGGCCTGGTTAGGTATCTTTTGGTTTTCCCAATAAATATGTTAATTGTTACTGGTAGATACGTAAAGTGGCATCAGACAGCATCAGAGAAAAATATCTGAACATATATTAAATCGTATAAGACTTGCAATATGCAATAAGACAAACAATATGCATAACAAGCCCCTAAACATTTTAAACATCCGCTATGCCCTTCATTTCTATCCATCATTTGTTTGTTTGTATATTAAACATATTATCTTTAGCATGCTTCTGTTTCTGTGATTTGGTTGTGATATTAATTGATTAGATTCCATTTGCTGCAAATTCTTTGTATTCTTTTTGAGATCCTTGTAAGGAAACCTGAAAAAGTCTTTTGTCTATACAATATGAGTTTTTGTGGCTTAAGAGGGGGCTGTTCATTGTTTTGCTTCCCATTCAATACAGTTTGCATTTATTGGAAGGCAGCCCTTTTTCCCACTACCATAATGTTATTTTAATAGAGAAAAAGTAAATTCTAACTGTTCAACCTGGTTGGTTGATTGAAAGAGATTAATAGGGTCAGTGTTGAGATATCATACTCAATGAACACCATAAAGTGCAAAACGCTGCACATTGATACACACAAATAAACTGTAAATTTGGGCCCATATATTTGTGCTTTCCTGTTGACCTATTGAGACCTTGAGCCAGTTATAGTTATAGTTATAATGAAAAGGCTTGTTTCTGCATAATTTTGTCCAAATGGCATTTATATGACTTATGTCTGAAAGTGCACGCAGAACAAAGTTCATATTTGGGGGGGGGGGGAGGGCCTGCCCATTGTATCCTCATTCAGTGTTATAAAGGAAATATACTACTGTTTTACAACTATTGGGGGGCCCTGGTTCTGACAGCCCTGAATCAATAGCTTTACATAAGTGACTGCTATATTTGTTACTCTAATTTTTCAAATAGACAAATAATTTGTTTCAAGAGAAATCAACGCGTGGCAAGAAGCAATCAGCATTTATTGAAAATAGATCATACCGTAATGTGTTTGATCAAAGGCAAAGAGAGCAGATAAATAACAAAGTAAGTGCCATATGAAACAGTGCCATAACAAACATTACATTGGTTTGAATCTATTGAGCATACTCATTTTGGTTGTAACACTAAGATATCATAAAGAGCCATTTAGTCAAGTATCGTATGTAGATAGAATTAAAGACAGGAAGTATTATTTATAAAGTCATCAGTTCATGAAGGCGCTGTCAGCTGTATTGACATTGCATGATTAAAAAAATTCAACCATGCTGCAACTAGTCATGAGAGTTTCTATTTCCCATCCATCAAAACATCAATACACCAGTGACATCAAAGACAGAATGAAGAAACAGATATTGCAAATTTTGTAAAGCACTTTGTTAACTTTACATGATAAAAAAAATCAGAGAGAGCAATACTTTTTTATCAATATGATCTTGTTGCTATTTTTAGCTGAAAGAGTGGTTTTCAAGAAGTGGTGCAGTCACAATTGCACTGACTTTGGTTAAAGAAGATGACAGTAGCTATTTTGTTCAGTATTTGGGTAAATATGTGATATCCTTTAATACCCCATAAAATAATCATGTGCTATAAATCTACATGTGCACAAACAAAATTGTTAGAGCAAAGACTTGTTTCAAAATGCCAACAAAGAGTTTATATGCCAGTAATTAGATAAATAACTACTCCCTCATTAAACTACCCTTCGGTAACTAGACATAGCAGCACCCATAGAGTGAGTAGCCTTTATAGTGCCTGATGATCTGAATAAGCATGAATAATAACATCTGCAACCAGCTTACCCTAAAAGCTGCCATAATTTGAAGTGAAACATGCTTTTCAGACACTCTAGAACTCCCAAAATCATTTTGCCGTCATCTTAATTCAAAGGACATGAAGCATTCCACGAATTTGTGGAGGGTGAATACATTCAAAGCAAATTCGTGAATGTGGCTCTGAGTGGTGTCAAGGAAAGAACAGGAGGCCTCAAACGACCACATTCTGGTGATAGTATTGTTCAGCAAGGTGAGGGAATGTAGCTTCAAATCAGCTTCAATATGATTTTACCATTAAGGCTGTGGTATATTTATATTAGAGCATTGTTCCCTTGGAATGAGAAAAGTTTAAAAATAAAGAGAATGCGGAAAATGCAGATGAAGTGAAAAAAATTAGAATTATGTCTGGTGATGACAAGATGATGATGAATACACAAAATACCCTATTAGTAAGAGTCTTATCCTTTTTAGAGGTATAAGAGCTTTGGTGATCTTGGCGAATTGTGTTTATCGTCTCAAGATGAAATTTAAGACCATGTTGATTATCCTATTGATCAAACAGACTGTGATTGAATGTAAACACATACTTACATTCGGGTAATGTCACAGTTGACTAATAAGTAATCATTTTTGTGAAGCCATTAATTAAACACCAGTTTAAAGTTGGAAATCAATCAAACAAAACGTCTAACCATTGGCTGGCAACGCTTTTAATTTAGAATTTGGCAACTTTCTAAGAGTCTCCAATCTTTGAAGCCTTTGTAAGACTCTTTGAAACCCAAGTGTACCTGTAAATTGCAGGAAATTTTGGTGAGGAGATAAATTTTCACGAGGAGATAAATTAGACAATTTTCAGCATTATTCAGCATTGAAAAACATCGTAGGTTTATGACACTTGTTACAAAAGTTTTTACAAAAGTAAACGGACTAAAAATGTACCAATTGATGATGCCCCTTATGCCGGGGCGAAATGTCTGTTTGTTGTTGTTCACTCTCGTCGCGTTGCGGTGTTACTACTATTTTGTAACACAGCAATGCCGAAAGTTATTGTAAACCAATATTGTTCCATGGGGGAGAGGGATGGGTGGCTAAATTTGACCTTGGAAACTGGCGTTAGTGTCCAAAGACTTTTGCCAGGTATTGTAGTAGTCTGTTCCGATGGGTTATTCACCACAAGAACAGAAAGTTTCGTTTTCTCGCATTACTGACAGAGACATCAGCAAATTTGTTACTTGGCATGATATTTGTTTTACAATTCTACTCATGAATTTATTCCACTTAGACGTAGATGCAGACATCACAAGTCTTCTTCTGAGCCAAGATCAGAGTTTTCTTCGTTTGGTTGTTGACGAAAAATGCAAACTTATTGCAAGAATTGTTAAAGGTATTGAAAACATTTCAGATTGAATTTTATCAGATTGAATTTAATTATATAAACTTCACTTTTATTAGATTGAATTTAATTATATAAGATACCTTGAACTTTACAACGCTGCACATTTCCATGACAGGTGGAAAACGTCAAGGGAAACTTTGGCGTGAGGAGAACAGACAGTTGTGGTGGCCCTTGGAAGATTTCCTTTCTCCAAATTCTGGTAGCCCTCGCATGCGGGTGGAGGAGATGGATTCGGTCTTGAAGGCTTTTCGTGATCACCTGCGAGATACCCAAGATTTGGTACCTATGGTTGCTAAATAATGTTTTAATGCGCCTTTTAAATAACGCTATGAGTTGCTAGAAATTAAAATCATTCTAGAAGGCTAAAGGTATTACACGTCTAAGAAATTGCTTGATGTTAATTGCAATAATTTGGTTTTGTAAGATAGAGTTAGTTCGAAGCCTTTTCGTCTTTTTATATCTTTATACAACTGTTGGTCAAGCAAACAACAAAGTAGAAACTATCGCAAAGGTGTATATGATTTTTAAAGAAATGGGATTATTTCAAAAAGGAATTTTCTTCAGAATAAATAAACTTGAAATACATTTTAACCCAGGAACATCAGTCAGAACAAGAGATCTCGGTGCTGAAAAGCCAAGCTACGGAACCAGCAGAAGAAGCGAACGGCTTTTCAGCAGCATTTGAGCGACTGGAGGAGACGGTTGGGGTTAGTTAATGCTAAACAATTATGTGTTGCACAATATTCAATCTACATTAGTTCAATAGATACAGAGCGAAGTCAAGATATGTCGAAGAAGTTGATTGATATCGATTCCAATAATTTGGTTTTGTAAGATAGAGTTAGTTGGAAGCCTTTTCGTCTTTTTATATCTTTAAACAACTGTTGGTCAAGCAAACGAGCAAAGTAGAAACTATCGCAAAAGTGTATATGATTTTTAAAGAAATGGGATTATTTCAAAAAGGAATTTTCTTCAGAATAAATAAACTTGAAATACATTTTAACCCAGGAACATCAGTCAGAACAAGAGATCTCGGTGCTGAAAAGCCAAGCTACGGAACCAGCAGAAGAAGCGAACGGCTTTTCAGCAGCATTTGAGCGACTGGAGGAGACGGTTGGGGTTAGTTAATGCTAAACAATTATGTGTTGCACAATATTCAATCTACATTAGTTCAATAGATACAGAGCGAAGTCAAGATATGTCGAAGAAGTTGATTGATATCGATTCCAATAATTTGGTTTTGTAAGATAGAGTTAGTTGGAAGCCTTTTCGTCTTTTTATATCTTTAAACAACTGTTGGTCAAGCAAACGAGCAAAGTAGAAACTATCGCAAAAGTGTATATGATTTTTAAAGAAATGGGATTATTTCAAAAAGGAATTTTCTTCAGAATAAATAAACTTGAAATACATTTTAACCCAGGAACATCAGTCAGAACAAGAGATTTCGGTGCTGGAAAGCCAAGCTACGGAACCAGCAGAAGAAGCGAAAGGCTTTTCAGCAGCATTTGAGCGACTGGAGGAGACGGTTGGGGTTAGTTAATGCTAAACAATTATGTGTTGCACAAAATTCAATCTACATTAGTTCAATAGATACAGAGCGAAGTCAAGACACATTGCTCTTCTGTGTTTGAGGATATCATCTTTCTATTTTTATTTAAGTTTTAAAAAGCATGTTAAACTTGACAAATTGATGCTAGTATTCAAAAAAGTTTCTTTTTCTAGTGTGTTACTGCATGGAATCCGGAGGTATCAAACCAGTTCCTTTCCAGCATCCCTCCTAATGCAGACGCGGAGTTTTTGAAGCGCATAATCGGTCTTCTTCCATGAACATGTGGCATAAAGACAGTTTCAAAGACATGGCTTCAGTCTGACGTGGAAACTTGGTAAATAAACCTATCTTTAAGATTATCAAATACCAACATTATTGCCGATGGTACACCCTTCTGTACACCCTACTGGCGGGAAAAACACAAGTCAGTAAATCACTGAATCAAGTATAAACCCAGCGGGCTTGCTTTAATATATCTATGATTCTAGTTTAATGGAAACATTGGCTTCTTCTATTAGCTTCTTTTTTAATATGAGAGCCTTGAGAATTCACTATTTAGGCCCAAACATTGATAAATTCAGCAAAAAGTTCTGTAAATAATGAAAGAATAAAGAATGTTAGGATAAAATGAATTCTGGTATTCTAATGATATGATAACTAACAATAACTTTTATTTTCAGTGTCAGACATCAAGTTCCGCTATGCATTAGGGGAGAGAAGGAACTGATTTGCATTCCTAAAGATCAAAATGAGATCTTCCATGCAGTATCCACGGCGTTGTATGGAACAGACGCATACTCACCTTTGCTCCGTTTATGTTCCTGATGAATGAAGCTGATTATGGAAAAAGTAAGTTTTTCTTTTTTCCATGACTCTGCCTTCAGAATGCAAGCTATTGCATTTTAATTTATATCTTTGATACTTTCCTTGATGAGCATGATACTGCCTTAAATTTGCATGGTACTTTCAGTTACAGTTGACGAACATATCCCGCGTCGAAGAGGAGATTTTGGAAACACTCGTTGATAGGGGACGTAGATGTGAGTATAATCATTGATTAGACTCTAGATTTTAGTCAGTGATTCAACACGTTAGGTGGGATCACTTTATACGTAGCTTCTTCCCTATAGCTACTTTCCTAGGGACACTAAAGTATAAATTTGCTACAATCACATACTATTAATGTCAAATAGCGAAAGTTTGAAGCAACGAAGAACAAAAAGCATTAAATATGAAATACAAATGAAGGTTATGGTAAACGTTTTCTCGATGAAAACATCCACTTTTAAATTTCTTGACCTTATAGTAGCTCAACTTTCAAGGTATCCAATGATACTAACAGAAGCTTTGAAAATGGAAAAAGTCTTATAAAAAAGCTATTTTTTCCCAAGGTTAAAAAATTTGCACACCGTCAGGATGGATGTCGGGTGCGCAAAGAGCGTCTCAAAAATGTTTGTGTTTGCTGGGATCCGTCTTTTATAGCCAATACAACTGTCGGAGGGTAGAATTTTTGACAGGGTGTAGTTTCAAGGGGAGGAGGAATTTGACTAAATAGCTTCTGAAAGTAGTGCACTCATTTAAACAATAAATTTGCCTGAAAACTATCATTTTACAATATTTCCTGTTTATTTCGATATGGTTGAAATCATTATACTCTTGTGCAGGGGCGTCAAGACCGGGGGTGTGGGGGGTGTCACAATAATATCTCGATAGGAAATTTCAGGTAAAATCTGCCCAGTGGAATAAATGCTTTAAGTCTTTCAAAGACCTTCATTTCCTTATATTAAGGAAGACAAACAAACTAATGATTTGAAGATTTCTTGTTAGCATAAGCTCTAAAAATCCAGGCCCTTTTTAGGTAAAATTGTGCACTGTGTCCATTTCCCCTAAAGTTTCTCGATAGAAGCTTGAGATTTTTTTAACATTCAAAAGGCATGCTAAGATGGAAAGAGGGATCTAAATTGACAACCAGTGCTACTTGTTATATAGCTTTGGAAGTAACTGACAACATGGATTTTTCAAGACCACGGCGAAATTGTACCAGTTGTTTTTATCTCCTGTTCAAATTAGGAGGATTGCTTTAGTAAAGTTTACTTAAAAGAGTGCATTTTCGGCCTTGTTCTTGTGCATAGAATGATATATAGTTTAATCCGATTCCATCAATAGTTTAGCTTTTAGGCAGAGAAAACCAAGTATAGTAGTATATAAGGAACATCGCAACGCGACGAGAATAAACAACAATCGCCTTGCGGTGTTCCTTATATGCTACAATTTAATCGATTTTTCGCTGCAAGATTTCCTCCGGAGTCCGTTGAGCAGCCTACTATCGTGGCCTCTCCTTTATTCGCAAAACCAAGTATCGTGTTAAAATAGTTCACCGTAAACTTAAATGGGTATTAATTTGACAAATTTAAGACACTAAGCTCCATCTCTACACATATGCTTTATTTGCCTTTGCCTTGGCAAATCAATTCAATAAATCTAGACTGTAGACTGTAGAACCAAATCTTGAGAGACACTTTTGGTTCCTTCAGTTTACCTTCTGCTCTGCAGAAAAATATCAGTGATTTGAAGCAAGCAAGCTGCTCGGGGAGCTTGCAAATGCCAAGCAGTCTTCACAAAGGCCACTTCTCATATTCAATGCTCAAAAGCTTGGTAATTGGTAATTCGAATTGGTAATTCGAATAAATATAAAAATTGCTAACCTCAAGCAGCCAAATTTTATGAATAAAAGTTCCGTCTCTTTCTTCATTTTAGCCTAAATTTCTGAAAATTTTGCCCAGGCTATACGCAGCCTCCCTCTATTGAAGTGTCTTTTCATTCTTTTTTTGGTTTTTAGCTCTTGTTCACTTTGGAATGTTGGCTGAGGCACTTAATGTCGATATTAAGTGTCATTCGGTCAATAATGACTTTTCTTGTACATATAAAAGTGGCAACGCGTGGGCAGAGGTCGATGTTTTGTGGTATTTTGGCGAGGAAGGGCAATGTCATGTATATCCCCTGAATGAGCTTCCTGAAAAGATACAACAACTGTGCCTTGCCTACGACTGTGCTGGGCACTTCGGTTGCTCAACAGGGGACGATTCTTTCTATTGTCCTTTTTGTTGCCAAACGTACCATAGAAAATGCCTTGGTAAAATTTATGACAACTGCTGTGATTGTCATGCATTAGCAAAGGTACTTCCAGTGTAAGTATGTGTTTGAAAAAAGTTTGTCAATAAATGCTTGTTAGTCCCCATATAGTTTATTCACTTCAATGATGTAAAAAGAACAAGGAGCCAGAAAAATCACAGTTGTGTAGCAACGAACCTCATGTAGAATTAAACTGAACTTACTTACACAAATAAACACTATCACATATAAACGTGAGGACACAAAATAGCGGGGACAAAATAAATGAGTTTGTTAGAGGACTTTGTGTGTTTACAGAATGAGAAATTGCAATCAACTTCTTTACCCAGTTTTTAACTAGTAAACTTTTCTATGTCGAAAAATATGTTTGATATTTTTTACTTGTACTCGATAGCTTGTGTTCACTATAGGATTCAATTCAATTTGAGGACTTTAGCAATCAAGCAAGCTGTGTTTTGAGACTTCGGATATGGTTCTTTAGTTATACCATTTTTTAATTGATAAAGAGATTGTTCTTTTGATTTTCGAATTTCGATTCCTGGAAGAACTTTGATACCAGTAGATTTGTGTAATAAATACTAAATGATATTTGCAGGAAATCTAGATTGAGTCAGGGAGACAGCATCAAGAGAATGCTGCAGAATGGCACCTCAATGTTGGAGGTAAATGGCAATATCTATCTATTAAAAGTATGGTTATATCATTATTTGGTTATATGGTTAAAGAACAAACATGACTTTAAAAAGATATCAGAGAATGGCATGCTTAATAACTCAATAATCAATGTATTCCAAATTCTGATGCTGAAGGAACACCTTGAGTCAAATGATTTACAAGACCCTTTTCTTGGGCAAAACATGTTTTTTACTGTACACCACGACAAACCTTTTGTTCAAATCCTCTATGATGGAAAACTACATTGGATTGCTGTTTCAACATATGTTGTTTTGCATTTTACACACATTTGAAAGGTAATTAAGGAATCTAACTTTTCACCAAAAGTTCAGCTTTTCAAAAACTTCAGAAACAGAGGCTTATGAAGTTCTTCTATTTTACTGTGGAAGGAAATTGCTTCGAAATTGGGTTGGAGATGAAAATTCGGCCATAGTAAGTATTCTTCATTTCAAAAAGATATTCTTTTACCTTAACTCTTATCCATCATGTTTGATTGAGTGTTGTTGATATCAAAGTCAAATGAATTAAATCCTATTTTTTCCTATTTGAAATTATACAATTTGAAAAGCTAACCTTAAATCATATTTCTTCCAGATTTTAGCATATTTGGTTGGCGGCCAAGAGTTAATAACTCCTGTACGTGCATGCGAAATTCTTGTAAGCTGCGTATGTTTTTTAAGATAAAATAAAACGATATATTAGCTTGAAATTAATATTTATGGGGAAAATACAGAACAAAAATCTATATGTTAACAATGTAAAGAAGAAAAAGGAGCTCTTGTGTGCATTTGTAATTGACAATTTTTATCAATATTTTTTACATCAATAGTGGTTACCATTGATTGGCCTACCTAGTGTTTTTTCCTGCAAGCCTCAAAGAAAATAATTATTGTTATTATTATTATTGATCAAATAAGGATTTGTAACGTTTTTTGTTAGTATGATGACCAGGTATTTTTCTGTTAACTGCTTCTTTTCTTAACTAAGATGGAGTTATCTGAAATACAGCTTTCTACCGTTTTAGGAAAAAACATCGCGTTTGCATCAAGATCCTTAAGTGGAACTTCTATAAATCTATCAGGTAATGTGTTTCTAAATTATTGTTTGTCTTGGTATAGAAAATTCAATTTGAGCATTATGAGCACTGGATTTAAGAGAAATCAGGCTCAACTAGTTTTTATATTCAAAAGATAGGAACGAGGCTGTAGATGTGTTCAACAGCAAATGCTTGCAAAAAAACACGAAATCTAACTAATACCAATATGCCAATATGCAAATGAGCCCGAACAAAAGACCTCCACACTGCCCCGCGATTGTACCACCGCCCGGCGTTGCACACGGTGCCCAGCCAAAACTGCTTGGCCGATTTTCAAAATTCTTTTTTTCCCTTCATCAACGAATCTTTGGTTCACCATACTACGGTCTGCTTTTTTTCCTTTTCGCTTCCGTTCCTGAGATATTTACGGTTTTCTCCCGGGTTCGTCTCGATCCCCACCGCCCCGCGATTGTACTGGTTTGCAGCCAAAACCGCTCGGCCGATTTTCAAAGTTCTTTTTTCTTCTGAATCCTCCATCCCGATGCACCATCATCAGGTCTGCTTTTTCTCATCGTTCTTTTCGTTTCTCAGATATTTACACGGTTTTCTCTGAGGATGCAAGATCTCGATTAGTGCTCTCCGTGGTCTTTGTCCCGCGTTTCTAAAGGTTCTTTCTCTCTTTTCTGTTGCTCTCTACTACAAAAGATTTCAAATCTTCTTCCTCCAGCAACCCTTCAATTTGAACGGAGGCTTTTCAAATCCGTTTCGTTGTTAAGACAAAGAATCTACTGTCTGCCGATAATTTCGGTGATTTGGATGATTTGGATAAATCTACGTGCACTGCTGGTTGGCATTCCTTTTCGAACTCGAAGCGGTTGTCGACGGTTGCATTCTGTGCTACGGTGCTACAGTGCTACCATGCTACAGCTACAGCTACAGGTGAGTCTCGCTAGCTTTTTATAAGCTTTTCGTCGTCATTTTCCTTTCCTTTTTATCGATCGATCAATACTCCGTTTGTTGTTATTTCGTTTGCAAGAGCCATGTAATTCGTGGTTTTGACGATCTTCCTTTTCTTTGTTTTAGTAGCTACGTACGGTACGCACACTGCTGCCCGTTTTTTGGTTTTGCGATGGCTGCTGGCTGTTCTTCTTCTTCACTAGCATCAGAATCGATGGCATGCGAATACAAGTAAGCGTTGTTGTTCTTACGTGTTTGTCATTTAAATTATTTGACATGATTTTCTGCTCATTTGGATGAAATTGCACTAAAAACCAGCTGCTAGACCCCCGCCACGAACGAAAAAATTTTACCTCTTCTCGTGGTTTTGTGCTAAAAGAAAACTGGATAGGTTTTATTGCAATCAAAATGGTAGATTTTTCCTGCTGTTTATTCTTGATGCAAGAAAATTTGATTTTAATAGGAAACCCGTTGAGAATTATGTAATGGCAGCTGCCAACTTTTTATGCCAAGTGAGTATTTTTTGATTAAAATTTCACTTTTAATGCGATTTTCCCACTGAGAATGAATCATTCTAGAAACCATTTCAAATGATTTTATGCTTACTTTGATGGAATTACACTAAAAACCGGTCGCTTACTACTAGACCCCCGCCTCGAACTGCAAATTTCTACCTCTTTTCGTGGTTTTGTAATGAAAGGAAGCTGGATTGTTATGGTAGATTGTGCCTGCATCATTTTCGGAATTGTAAATGAATCATTCTAGAAACCATTTAGGCACGTAAATGAATTTACGTGCCAGTGTGATTCTGGCTACGTAGGGCGCACAACCCAAAGATTGGGGGATAGGATAAAACAGCATGTTCCTTCCAACATACGAAACAAAACTGCCCCTCAAAGAGAACAGCCTCCTCGATCTTGTAGGTCTAGAAACACTGTTAAAACAAGTGATTCTGCCATTGGTCAACATCTTTTAGACAACCCAGATTGTGCAAAACTCTATAATGACGACATGTTTCGGATAATTGGCAGAGCCCGGTCGTCCTTCCATCTAGCAGTTTTGGAGTCAATCTACATAAAAACGAAAAAGCCGCCATTGTGTAGACAAAAGGAGTTCGTTTTCTCTCTTGGACTCCATTGGTAATTTTTCTTTAGGCTCGCGGCACTGATTGGTCAACTATACCGGTCTTGTGCTTGCGTTTTTCTGATTGGCTTATTTCGATCCACAACTGGGTATATATTTTTCAAACGTGTTTTTTCGGAACCTATTCTGACGTTTTATGCTCTGAGGAGTGTCAGACGAAAAAGCTTTAAGTATGTTGTAAAATGTTTGCTTTTTCAAAGCCATTTTCAAATTCTGTACCGCAAAAAAATTGTTCACAAAAACCATTTCAAATGACTTTATGCTTATTTGGGTGAAATTACACTAAAAACCGGTTGCTAAAAGGATTTGCTAGACAACGAACGTGTTTCTCTGAATTTTTTACCTCTTGCGTAGTTTTGTGCTTAAAAGAATATGGATTGGCTGTATATCGATTTCTTTAAAACGTGCTTCCATTAACCATGGAATAACATCTTCATTATTCTTTTTGTTCTACATCTAGATCAAAGATCGTTTCAAGCAATAATTATGACGCAGACATGATTCTCGGACCTTCGAAACGAAATTGATGGCATTTATGCTGGCGTTAATTCAAACGATGAAACAAGAAAAGACTTTACTGTGAAGAAACGGACTAAAGTTATATAGATCAGCTGTTGTCCGTAAATTGTATTTTGTTAATTTGTTGTTAGAGTAAGATTCCTTTCTGATGCACGAAACTTTGGCTGTTTTTTATCTTTCTATTTCTTAACTGCTTTGTTGCTGCAGTGTTGCAAAAGCTAATTGTGACGAAGATGTGATATGTGGACCTCAAATGTATAGAACTGCGTAATAATTCTGTACCTCTTTAGAAGAGGAGTCACTAATTTTTTTATGAATCAACATAATTTTTTTAGGAATTTTGATTGTTAAGAAAGTTTTAGATGATATATATTTAAACGAGCACCATGGACCAATAACTGCTAACAGGAATTTATTGTTGGAAAAACTTTAATGTTTGATTCAAAATAAACAGAGGAACTTTAAAGGTGGCCCGAAGTTATATCTTAAAACAACATCACAAGTGAACAAGAATTGAACAAAATGTTATGATAAAAATATTCATGTTGGATTCAAAATGAACATTAGAGCTTTAAGAATGGCCTTAGAAAAAAATTATAAGCGCCCTATAAGTCGATGAGGGCCAAGAGTGTATGATTGGAAAACTTAAAAATTTGATTCTGACTAAATAGGAGAAATTATAGGATAAACCCATGAAAATTTTGTCCTTCAAGGAAAATTGATTTGCTGTATTCGTCGCTTAACAAGACCATATTCAAATGGTTTTATGCTTAATTTGATGAAATTACACTAAAAACCGGAGAATGTTTACCTAAAGTTGTTTTGGATTTGTTTACATCGGGGGGCAATTCGCTCTTGCAAGTAACGTGCGAGATTTTGCCTAAAACAAAAGGATTTCTTGGGATTATCAGATAAACCAATAGGATTTTCACAAAAGGGGTAATGATGGACCGACTGAAAGTTGCTAACACTTAGGGGGTTAAATCAGCAAATTACCTGCTTTAAATACCAGATAATGTATATTTCGAGATGAAAAATGGATTGATAGGTACAAGGGGCCAACTGAAATTTGCTGACAGAAAGTTATAAGCCAATTTTGAATAAAGAACGCACTTAGGGGGTAAATCTGCCATTACCAGCCTTAAAGGAAGGTAAAGCCAGATAATGTTTATTGCGAAATGAAAAATGAATTGATAGGTACAAGGGGCCAACTGAAATTTGCTGACAGAAAGTTATAAGCCAATTTTGAATAAAGACCGCACATAGGGGGTAAATCTGCCCATTACCAGAATGTATATTGCGTCCTTGATCTTGCATGATCGCCATAAAAGCTATGATACTGCTAATGGTAATTGGATTGATTCTGCTAAGAATTTCCCAAGTATTGATAGTCAACAGGTAATCAATTTCGGGTTTACTTTTCTAGAAGGATTTACAAAATTACAGTGAAGGTAATAAAACATTATCTTCCCACACGAAAATAGCTCATATTTCTATAGGTTTGTTGCTCTAAATGAATACTTTTTCCTCAAGGGTTATTTTCGTTTATATGCCAATAGTAAATGCTACTCACAGAAGGCGTGACTATTAATTGGATTAGTTATGTTTGGCTGTCGCCACATTGAAATAGCGCTTGTGTGCTTGCTGTATGATATTACATTTGGTGTTCAGATTCCATATAAAATTGTAAGCGTGTAGGAGGGCATTGTTCATGGTGATTCATTTTGATTTGATTTGTAAAGAGAGTAAACAGGTAACTAAGGTTGAGAAATCTTAACATGAAGGGTACAATATCCAACAAGTACAAAGATTTACTAGAAATACAAAGGCTGATCAATCTGATTTGAAGGCTAGATGATTTTGGCATGTCCATTACTTTTCTAAAGAAAATGCTGGCAAATCTACTACAACAAGTATTTTTCCATCAATTCAAAGCAAGCAAAATCACTCCTCCACGACAAATTGTTTACATTCTTTTAAACCCTCCTTTATTTAGGAGTGCCTATTATCCTGTATTCCTATTTAAGAAACAATCTTTCCTTCTCTGAACCAAAAAGTCCACCGTTACCAAAAATGAACAAAGACAAAGAAACGTTCATTGTACATTTTAGAGGAGAGGTAAAAGTAAGTACTCTTCCTATCTCAAATATTATCTTTAGAAATTAGTTGCTATTTGCTTTGCTAAGAATAATTCCTTTTTTCTTATATGAGTCAATGCCACTTATTTCTATAACACTATGCAAAAGGATCCTCTAAACGTTACGAATTATATCGTTGTAACACTTTCCATATTCACAAATTAAATGCACTCAACAATTTTTTCACAAATTCTTTTTTACAGAATCTCCCGTACAATGATGGCAGTATTCGCAAATTGAAAATAGAAGCTGCAAGTGCATTTGCCCTAAGCAGAAAAATAAAATTCAAAATTGTAGATCGTCAGCGGCATCTCATAAGAGAATTAAGGTACGTTTAGCATTTGGTATAAAAACTCCCTTTCTACAGATCTTTTCGTCTTTTTACATTTATTTTTTAGCTGTTTTCTTGACATTGTTTTTTCAAGACTGGTTACCTTCAACAATTTTTATTTTTTTCACAGGGCCGGGGATGAGGTATTCCTGCATCTTTGCAGGAAACCAAGACAGAGTTTGCAGAAGAAAGTGAGAGAGACAGTAACTTTTAATTTTTCGTTTTCTTAACCCCCTTTTCATCTTTTTTCAATATGTAGATCGATTTCTTAACAGGCTTTTGAATTTATAGTATCATTTTAATTAGTTAGTTCGCTGATTAGTTAATTACTATTTACGTTTGGCAATTAATCGCCGTTCCCCAATAACTCCCCTGTTCGGAATTGACTTCCATATAAGGGCACGTGTCTTTCCATAATCACATAATCACATGATCCAAATAAGGACAAGTGTCTTTCAATGATCACATGACCATTTCGTCCATAAAACTTGGCTGTCGAATGACAACCCCACATTGCACTTTCGCATATCTCTGATTGCATTTCAACTTTGACGCATTCAAACTTGTAAGTACCTTTTATTCATTGATTTGCAACTTCCTTATTTCATCATATAGTCAAATTTTTCGTATCGACAAAATAATTTCATGAAACCCTTTACTGACTCAGGATTTTTCCGTTGATATTGCGTATGACTGTTTTAAAGATCTGACTTTCTTTATTGATTTAAAATAAGTTTCATAATTATTTTACAATTCCGCTATGTATTTAAGCTGCGTAGATGCGGAACCACCCCTCTAACAAACATTGACCCAAAATGGAATTTCATCAAAAACAATTACAAGAATGCCTTATTTCCATCTTAATGCGAAGCAAGCCATCTTTAACTCAAAACAATTTAGTTTTCCACCCCCTAGAGAAATTTCATATTATGCCATTGGAAACGCCATTTCGACAAAAAAATCATATCTGTAGTTAATTCTTTAATTTTAGTTTTGACCTTCTGCTGTTTAGTGATAATTCTAAATGATCAGGACTTCTACTCATTGATTCCTTTCGAATTCGTTGTATTTGTGAAGTTTATGAAATGAACCATTAAACAAATTTAACTGTAACACCGGAACCTTTCACATTCATAATGCATGCCAGGGGCACATCTGTACCTGTTTCTTTGGTTCTGTGAACCAGTCGAGTTGTATTTAAAATACCCCATTTTCCAAAGTTTTTGCATGTTCATTATGAAGTCTGTGTGAAAATTATTAGGTGCAATACCATCAAATGTTACAGTGCCATTGAAATTATCAGGCAGTCTATTTCTCTTACGCTCATTTTTATAAGAACAATTTTAATAGAACAGGAGCCTCAAAATTTGTCAAAAGTTAAGAACAAATTAAGAACACCCAATTAATTAAAGAACAAATTTAGAACAATCCAGCCTCAGATTTGTACAAAAGAGTATAGTTATATGATGGTTACATACAGTTTGAACTTTCATTTACCTAAAATTTATCCGTTGATACAGCTTGCAATATGGCTCAATGTAACATTGAAAAGAAATTAAAGGAGCTGGCATCCTTCCTTGACGAATGCAAAAACATCCCTTTCCGAAATTGAGAAGGGGGATACCAGCCAAGAAAGATACATTCGAATTTGCAGAGCAAAGCTGCAAAGTGCCTGTAGCCGCCTTGAGGCTCTAACGAAAAATCTCGAAGAGTTTTTTTGCGAATTAGAAATAAGAAAAGACATGGATGATTCTGACTTTTTATTGGAAGTAAAAGACATTAATTAGTTGTATATATATGCATTTTACGTTTAGATTTTTTACAAATATGCATGTTCACTTTGTTTTATCTTTTCATGTCTCTGTTCTTCGGACTTGGAGATATCTACAAATCTACTAATATTAATTAATCATTTAACCTGTATCAGTTAACGATATATATTCCTCAATGATCTTATTGCCAAAAAAGATAGGACAGGAAAGCAGGAAAGATGCTTATTTTACCATATCAAACATCCTCCTTGCGTGATACAAGGACGCCGCAACGACCAAGGGGCAAGAGGGTAGGCTTCAGTAGCACAGTGTATGTGCAGTGCCGTAGGAAGGACAGAACTTTATAGGAGTACCATTGTTTTGCAACAGTACTAAGAAAACAATTTCTTCATTGGAAAGAAAGGATTTTTATAATCTTTAGGGGCATGAGCATGTTCTTTTAATGAGATGAGATGTTCAAAGTAGTTTAACCTTTTACACCTTTAAAAAACTATCGAATTTTTTAAAGTGTCCATTGCATTGTGGGACTTGTTGGGCCTCATTTTGGAATTTTTCGCAAATTGGATTTGCACTGGCTCTATTTTATGTACATCCATAATGGCGACCTAGAACAGATCGTTTCTGTTGGGCTTACACTTGAAACGAAACAACAAGTTACAGGATACAAGAGACGTTTACTTCCATTTCGAAATTTTGGGGTTAAGTTAAAATATACAACTTTCTAATATTCTGGCTACTTTAAAGCAGGGAAGTGTGTGGTTTTTTACCTGCTTTTTGTCTGTTTTCAATAAGGCCACAACCTTTCCATTGTTTACATTTTACATTATTTATTTACTGAGGTACAATCAACAATAAACTTGCGAAAAATTTTTGTGAAAATCACTTGCACCCTATGTGCATTTGTTCTGTTTTCCTGCTTTTCGTGCTAATGTCTATTCTTCTTGTAATTTTCGATTACAGGAAAGTAAATCTACGTTTGGCAACTAAAGGGCTAAGTGACAATTACAGTAAGCTATGGAAACCAGCTCAGAAACCAAATAGAACCGTGGTTTGAGTGTGGCAAATAAAGTTAATTTCTTTTCATTGGCCTTCCTCACAGTCGTTTACCATCTGCAAAAAGGTCATATATAGGCCCTGGCTGAAAGGTCTGTGCAACATTCCTTTCCAATTTTAAATTTTTTCAAATCCAAATTAAATTACATGTTTTTTTATATTAAATGTCAGCCATATTGATTTTACTACTAAACTCTCACACCGTTTTACTTTGGTTGAATTGGGTAATTTTGTAATCCCCAGCCTTGAGATATGCCACGTCGCCGTCGGCTAAACTTTAATCGGCAAAGAGCAAGAGAAAGGCAAAGACAATATTATCAGAACCGTCATAACAACAATGGACCACCAAATGCAGGTGAACAACAATTTGCTGATGCAGTAAATGAATTAGCTGCATTGGAACTTCAAATTGCACAAAATGAGCTTCCAGATCAACAGGGCAATAATGAAGGAACTTTTGTGTGACCTTCTTGAAAGAAATGCTTTAGAATAAGGTTGCATATGTTTACACAATTGAGTTGCAGAAGAGGTTTGCCGCATGCACACATGGTTCTGGTTTTCTCAGATGGTGATAAACCACGTGTGGCAGAAGACGCTGACAGGTTAGTATCAGCCGAGATCCCAGATCCACGACAATTTCCAAATTTGCATGAAATGGTCAAGAAACACATGATCCATGAACCATGTGGTGACCTTGATCCACACTGTGTTTGCATGCAAAATGGTGAGTGTAAGAAGAACTTTCCAAAACAACTCTCACAGGTAACTCAGGTGAATGGATACCCAGAGTACTGACGACGAGGACAACATCATGCGCAGCTACGTCGTCACTTGGTTAATGACTCTTGGGTGGTTCCTTACAATTCTCACCTTCTCATGAAATTCAACTGCCATATGAATGTAGAAATTTGCAGCACTGTGAAAAGTGTCAAATACAACTTCAAATACATTCACAAAGGCAACGATTGTGCACATGTTAAAATAAAAGAAAACACTTTACACCATGATGAGATTCTCCAGTATCTTAATGCAAGATATGTTGGCCCACACCAGGCAATGTTCAGGATCATGCAGTACAAAATGCACGACAGAAGTCATGTCATCATACGACTTGCAGTGCATCTTCCTGTACAATAGAACATCTATTTCCAGGAAGGAAATGAGGAAATAGTTCTTAATGAGCGCCTTCAAAACCATCTTGTATCTCAAGGTACCATTCTTTCCTTCATCTTTGACCACTCTCTTCCTATAGTCTCTAAAATATGGACCACGGTTCAAAGCAACATGCCCAAGAACATTTACAGTTTTACTATCAAATATCTTAGCAACTCTCTTGCCACGCGAAAAAACCTATCTAAATGGAACATTACTCAGTCGTCCGATTGCTCTTTTTGCCATATGCCAGAAACGTTACTTCACATTGTTGCAGGCTGCAAAACATACCTCGAAGAAGGCCGTTACACATGGCGCCATAACTCTGCATTGAACTTCCTAGCACAATCTTTAAAAGCTATACCTAATTGCTCTCTTTACGCAGACCTTTCAGGTTATCTCTCACCCTCTATCACAACAGGAGACTTTTTCCGTCCTGATCTACTTCTAGTCACTTCTGACCATCGACTAATTCATACTCAAGCTTACAGTAGGATACGAAACTAACTTGGATGTTAATGCTAACCGCAAAAGAGAGAAATACTCGAATCTCATTCACAGCCTAAGCTCAGCCTATTCTTCTATCATGTTTGTTAATCTTTCTATCAGTTCCCTAGGTATCTTTGGTCTCTCTTGCTCCTCTTTCATCGACATGTGCAACGCTCTAGATATCAGCGAGAATCATCTCCGCTTCATGATCTCCAAACTTTCCAACTTAACTATCCGTACTACCTATTACATTTTCTGCCCCAGAAATAAATCTTGGAATAATCCTGATCTTCTTCAATTCTAACTATCTCTGCTACTGACGACTTCTAAAACAAACAATGACGAACACACTTATTCCTTTTTTTATTAATTTCTCTTGTTTGTGCTTGTAATAGTCTTTTTCTTTGTAAACCCAGGCTAGTCAATTGCAAATTACCTTTGTAATAGTGAAATTTGTTATTGTAGTTTTAATTGAATTGAAAATGAAAAGTTTCCATTATTATTATTATTATTATTTTTCTCAGTTTTTTCTTTTATCTTATGATTGTTATAGTTTTTTTTCTTGTAAAACCAGGCTAGCCAATTGCAAATTACCTTGTAATAGTGAGATTTGTAATTGTAGTTTAAGTTGAATTGAAAATGAAATGTTTCCATTATTATTATTGTATGGTTAGGTATCTTTTGGTTTTCCCAATAAATATGTTGATTGTTAATGGTAGGTCTGTATGTATATCTGGCTGTAAATTTATAGGCTTTTAAGTATGTAAATGTTTACATGAATAAGATAGCATCAGATAGCATTAGCGAAAAATAGCTTTGTATTTCTTTGGGATCCTTGTAAAGGAACCTGAAGAAATCCTTTTGTAAGAGAATCTGAAGTCTTTTTGTAAGGGAACCCGAAAAAAGTCTTGTCTACAACAATACTTTTTGTGGCTTAAGAGGGGGCTGTCAATTGTTTTGTTTTTCATTCAGTACAGTTTGCAATAAACGATTTACCGATTTACCATTATGAAATACTAGCCAAAATTTCTAGCCAAAATTTCTATAAACGATAACTAGCCAAAATTTCACTCGCTCCAAGCCCCTGGACAATACAAAAATTTACCAATTTTCAACCCTCCGATTTTACACCAAAACAAAGCTACTTTTACCTAAATTCTTTGGCAAAGTAATATTTAAAGGACAAGTGACACGCTTTTGGCACCAAATTTTTTTTTAATTTTTACTTATAGTAAAATGCTGTATGAGAGTGTTGTTGAGATATTTTTCTATTCTGATTTCATTTTCCTACTTAAAAACCCTTTTCAAATTATGGCAGGAAATGAATCACGTGACACCGTGACGTAGATTGTGATAATTTGTTATTGCTGCTACTGGTATACAGTGCAATATTAACGTTTACAACAGGCTTCTAAACGAATTCAGTTCGTCTGGACCTGTCGCGTCGTGTTTCATAAACTCTCTATCAATGACAGGAAAATTCCGAGTTATCACAATGTACGTCATAGGGTCACGTGATACAAAACAAAATTGCGCCCCCTGCACCCCATAATTAGAATCTTTTGTTCTAAACCGGGAAAAACTTACTTCTAAATGATGATCTATAAGCTAATGAAAAGATAGGGTGAAAAGTGTGTCACTTGTCCTTTAATCACCAAAGTATGTAAAAAATACTTACTTACAACAATTTATTTTGTTTTTGGGTCTTCCACGTTATAATTGACAAAGAGGTACAAACATCCTAAATTTGTGGTGTTCCCTTTGATCAGGAATATTCTTTTGCCACGTAGGCCCAGAACGTCCAGAAAATGTTTGAAGTAATCCTCTTCAGTTTGCCTCTCAGTCAATATACCTCTATTAGAAATAGGAATCGGATTGGCTGAAATACAGAATGCCAAAGACATCCCCTTTTTGATCAGCTGACATGAGTAAATGTGTCATTAAAGGCGTGTTCTCCTCATGATGCGAATAAGTTGGAAATGAGTTAGATTTAGCAGCTAGGGCATTTAGAGCCTCTAGCGCATTTAGAATGAAAAGAGCCCATTATTAAAAATATCCAAGAATTAGTAGCTGATTTAAAGAGCAGTTATGCTAAGGTTCTGAAAGATTACAGTATCTCGGATCAAAAGGGAATCAATTTAAAGAATTGCAGGAATGATGGTTCAATGTGGCCCATGTTTCATATCTTTGCATATATTATAAATAAGAAAGCCTTTGATACAGAGTATGTCGACCAGTACAAGATCAAGAAGGCATATTCGCATTTTATCAATGGACTTGTACATGAAAGTTTTTCATTTAACTTTGGCACAGATAAAATTGTTCTCAAGGCAAAAGTCACACCTTCACAAAAAGTGAGGGAAGATCCAAGGGAGACATGGGTTCTTTGCACAAAAGGAGGCAATTTCCTTGTGGCTCACTGTACATGTACAGCTGGGTTTGGAGAGTGTTGTAACCACATTGTAGCCGCTCTGTACAAAGTGGAGTTTGCGAAAACAAACATGTTGATTGATCCAGCCTGTACACCTGAAGCTTGTGTTTGTTAATCGTTTTTAAAGACAATCAGCTGACAGAGCTCGAAAAGGTCACCAGATCACAAGATGGTTCGAAAATTTGGCGACAAAGATCTGGATGTATCACTGCAACTAAAATTCGTGACTTTTTTACAAAAGTAAATGCGATTTCTATATCGAAGGCAAAAGCACCCAAAATCATGCCATTACTTGCAAAGTTGTTGAAGGACAATGACATTGGGATGTTGCCAGCCATAAAATGGGGACAAAAGCACGAGCAAGATGCCAAAAAAGCCTTTTTCTGTGCTGTTGTATCGAAGAATAAACATGGGAAGCTACTGGATTTTGGCCTAATAACCAACTGCTCATTTCCTTTAATTCGGGCTACTCCAGATAATTTATTTTTGTGCCAATGCTGCGAGGGTCCTGTGCCAGTAGAGTACAAATGCCTGTTTAAGTTGCGGGAGAAGATTGTAGAAGAAGGAGCAGACGGATTGTACTTTTTATACATTGATGAATACAAAAAATTGCACCTAAAAGAGGAACATAAACATTATTCACAAGTTACGACACTAATGGCTTTAACTGGAGGGAAAAGGTGCTATTTTGTCGTGTGGAGTCCGAGAAGGGAACCACTTATCGAACAAGTCAAATTTGAAGAAAAACACTGGTCAGACCTGGAAAGAAATGCTTTTCTTTTTTTCAACGGGTATGTGGTTCCAGTGCTTCTGGACAGAAAGCAGATTTATTACTGCCCCGAAAGGGAGAGGAGAAACCATGCTTGGAGAAAGAAGAGACACTGGGCGAATCGGAAAACAGTATCAAGTGCACTGAGTGTTCTCTTTGGTACCATTTGGTTTGTGTTGGAATTACAAGAGACAGGGAGCGATATTGGATTTGTGAGAGGTGCCTGTTATCATCAGTTTTGCCGTATGAAAACGTATCCATTATAGACGACCGTGACAAATCACAATTAACTATACCATGACTCGATGTATATAATATGCCACTTTGTTCCTGCCCTGATTTGAAAATGTTTGCATATCCTTGTAAACTTTTTTTTCCAATATTTGTTGAGTATCCTTCATGGTCCTGGGATGCCTTGCCCTCTGCATACTTCTGGACCATCAGAACCCACAGTCAGAGAGCTCATTGATGATAACAATTCCCTTATTTCAAAACTGCACACAAAGCTCTAGGAGATAAAATCTACTGTACTTTGGCAAGGAATAAACGAGCCTTTATCAGTCTACACAGAGGATATAATAAGAAAATGCCAACATCTTTCTCTTTCGGACATGGAGATGATGAACTTATTTATCTATGTTCTAAAAAACGAAATTAAAAGTCATGTCATTTTGAACCAGCCTAAAACGTTTATAGAGGCTGATAATTTAGCCAGGCTCCAATCAGCAGTCTCCTCCACTTCCGTATCTGAAAACCTTTTTCCTAGTTTGAGTAACACCCTGCAGGAGCAACAAATAAAAGAACTTGAATGCCTCTCAAATACAGCAAGAAAAACCTGTCAATGCTATTGACACTGCGTTTCAATCCAGTTGACCTCTTCAATATGGTCTTCATGTACTCTCTACCCTATATTGCACAAAGCAACAGATTTTTGCTGTAAACCTTGAATTGGAGCCAGAAGAAATGTCTTTACCTCTGATCTTGGACAACTGTAGGTAGAACTTGACGCGGAGCTGAGTTTTCTTGATAAAGATTTGACAAGTTAAAATAAGATTTATAAGGACTCACTTTATGGTAGATAAAGTGAGTTCCTCAAAAGAATAACTGTTTGCTCTTGCTTGGGACGTTTCAAGCAGCTAATCGAAATGAACAAGAATTTGCAGAAAATGCCAAATACTGCTCTTGGATCATTGGCTGAATCTGTAACAGGGCACAATAATATCCTTCTAAAGCTGGCAACACTCTGTGATGAACTTCAACAATCTTTCATTGAAGCAGACATTCAGGTACTCATCTTTTCATTTGTAAGGTTTCCCCATGAAAGAGGGACATGAAGCCTGTGCAGTTCCTGTAAGACTGTTGCTCTTTCGTTCTATATGATACCAGAAAGTTTGGGATTTAAGAGATGAAAGATGCTCTTATTGCAAGAGATCTGATTCTTGTCTGCTTTGTCACTGATAGAGAGTGGAATTCTATGCAAACTCGAGGAAGTTATCACCATGTGTCAGTTAAATAATCAATGACAGATGCCAAAAAGAAAACAAATAAGGTTCACATTAATGAAATAAAGCAGTTCTTAATATTATCTTACTCTACACAAAAGCCTGTGAAGGAGCACCAACCATGTCTTTTACAAGACATGGCATTTTTAAATAAATTTTGCATGAATTGAAAGTGCATTGATAGAGCAATTTTCATTTTCAGAACAACCAAATTTTTCCCTTCAAATATGATCCATACCCTTGTCTCCTGACAAAAGAATGAGTGAGTTCTGTCACTGCATCCAGTAGTTGTATATAAACTCATTAATGAGTATCCAGAGCAAGCAATTGATTTTATAGAGCATCGATCATTTCAAGAGATGTGAATCCAGACAAGAGGATATGTACATGAAAGAGAAGAACATGGTCATCTTTTGATGTGCTTAACAAACTGTTTTAGGTAACATTTCTTTAAAAATATAATTACAAAGGCTTTTTCATAGAAGCACTACAGGACCCAAAACAGGCCTGACAGGAGAAAGGCAACAAAATGTGCACGAATGTGAACTTATCTGGTCTTATGATGTTCTTGAATTCATGGAGAGCAAAAGTTATAGAAATGAAGCTGATATCGTTGATATCATTAGGAACTGTCATAGAACTGTTGATGGTTGAGGATCAAGTGAAGATGACAGATCCCATCATATCAAGGCAATGCTTTGCTGGTTGTTGAGAAACTGGATCCCATCCTTCAATGAACAATCAATTGCTTCTAGATGTAGCCAGGAATATTAGTAGAAACAAAAGTAGATTGACTTACCAGGGAAATTGTTGTAGGTTTAATTTCAAATCTTAGCTGTCTGGTGCTTACAAGAGCAGAGAGTAAAAGTAGGAACATTTGACCAGAACATTCCTGCAGTTGAACTAGTGATGATGTTAAATCATTTATATCAAGACTGCATGAGAACTATTGGATAACAAGGGATCCTCCAGTTTGTTTCCAAAAATATTTGGTGAGCTTCACAAAAGTTCTGATAACACAGTTTATTACTGGACTGCAAAAAAGAACATATTTTGTGATCTTCTGCTGCAATCATCCAACAAGACCTTGCAGAACAAACAAGACAGACTTGGTATCATAAAGCAATCAACATGTGCAGATCGCGAGTAGCTTAAACACAACCTTAAGATCCAAATAAAACCATTCATAATGAATCTATTTCCTCATACAACAAAACTTCTTGATGATATTTTTCTATATATAATACACCAGAATCCAGAAAACCCTTTATCGAGACCGTCCAAAATTATGATTACCATTTTTTGATATTTCGATAATCATCTATTTCGACTACCATTTTTTAATAATTACAACTCTTTGCAACTGATGTTACCTTCTCTAATGGCTATATTAAGCAACAAAATCTCGAGTCACCATTCAGAAATGCCTTTTTTTGCAATCTGTTCTAAGAATTACTTTTCAAAAACTTTATGTTATTAATTGTGTAAGAGGCATCTGACCCAAAGAAAGATCAAACTTCAACATGTTACATGATTTGTGATAGTATATCTTAGGGGTTTAATAACTGTGCCTCTGTGTCTTAAGGGTTAATCCAATAGCTGAGACTTTTTTTCAAAAAATTGAAGTCACATGTCTTATTATCATATAACATGCGCTGGTAGCCCATATCCCCTTCCCCTTGATGTCAATGTTGGGTTTTATGATTGCGGAATAACTGGGGAAAAACAGTTCCCGATCTACCCAGGAGAGCAAAGACTTGTCGGTGTCTTTGAAATAATTGCATCACAGACATTCCCATTTGATCGCTGGTCAGATGAAAAATCTGTGAACGGGCAATTAAAAAGGATTAATTCTTGCTGCTTCGTACAACTTCAAGCAACTTGTAAGGTCGTTTACACGATCACATTCTGTGATCACATAAAATATTTAATGCAAATGGGACCAGAATGGGAGGCGACCCCCTGACTAGCGATAGTCACAGGAGTGCGAGTAATTTTTTTATCACGTGACCTGTGCGGAGATAATTTTTTTCAAATCGAGGTTGATACACCTCTTGTCTTTTCCGAGGCTAATCTGCATACTCATAGGGGGCTTCGACAGAATTATTGTCTTTACCGAGGCTAATTTACTATCATTCACAGGGGGTTTTAAGAAAATTCTTGTCTTTTCCGAGGATAATCTATGTACTCTACTGTAGGGTCACTGGCAAGCCCGCGTAGCGGGCTTCGTAGGGGAGCTGTCACTAGCACTAAAATTCGGATTTGCAAATGAACCCCGAACAAAAGATCCACATCGCCCTGCGATTCAAACGGTTTTGAGCCAAAACCGCTCGGCTGATTTTCAAAATTCTTTTTTCCACTGAATCCTAGATCCTCGAGGCTCAAACATAAGGTCCGCTTTTTCGTATTTTCGCTTCTGTTTTTGAGATATTAACGGTTTTCTCCCGGGTCCGTTCCAAAATCTCGCGATAATGTTTAGTGCTCTCCGTGGTCTTTGTCCGTGTTTCTATAGGTTCTTTCTCTCTCTTTTCTCGTGCTCTCTACAAAAGATTTCAAAACTTCTTCCTCCTGCAACCCTTCAAATACGACCGATGTCTGCCGGCAGTTCCCGTTCTTCACTGGTAAGCGTTGTTGTTTTTAGGTGTTTGATTTTGTGCTTTTGCTGTAAATTCAACGCCTGTTTTTTCTT